TTTGTATTTCCCTAAAGTTCTATTGTAAGACAGTATGCAGTAATAAAATTGTATTACCTTACAGTAATTGCATTACTTCATAGCTGATGAGGTAGGGAATTTGCACTCTTGCAAAATTAAAAACTAACAGATTAAATTTACTGTATTTAAAGTACGGACCCCATAGTAGGAACTCAGTGCAACAAAGGTCTGTTTACTCTTTAATACTGAGAGTCAAATCATAGATTTTCTTCAAGATGCTGCATGTCTACCTTTATGTTTTTATGACAGACTGGAGAATTTTTCTGCCATCTTCAGAAACATGTTTTTCAGTTGCTCTTTCCTCAAGGAGTAATATAACTCTACTCGTGTTCTATTGGATTGAGGTCAGGCGACATACTTGTCCAGGTCATCAATTTTACTTTTTTCTTTCTTAGAAAACCAAAAAAAACTCTAGTGAGATTTTGGCGGTGTGCTTTGGATGGTTTTCATGCTGGAATATTCCTCTTTTGTCAAGCTTCTGCAGATTGAGAGTTTTCTTGTCAGCCAGCATTTTGGTTTATCCACAGGGATTCATGGTGGCATCTATAAATACCCTCTCTACAATACTTTTGGCATTCATGCAGCCCTGTATCGTTACACTCCCACCTCTGTGCTGCACTGTCAAGATTATGCATTTTGAACCAAACAAATTAATCTTGGTCTTAACTGGCCAATATTCATCAGGTGTCTTTAAATGTTCATGGCACTGTCTGTGCTGTCTGACCAGGAACTCAAATTTGCATTGATAGCCGAGTCTAAAGCATTTCCAGAGGTAGAGTGTGTAAGTAGTGCATTGTCTATGACATCGTTTTAGGAGGATGGCCTCTGTGGCTCTGATTAATGGTACTATGACTATGATTTTTGGTTGCACACCAATCGTGCTGCATCCTTTTCCATATATACAAGTTTACTTAAAACAGTAGGAAAAAGAACAGATTCACACAAGCACACACTGATGGTGGCAGAGCTGCCAAACAAGGCACCTACCATTGGGAGCAACTTGGCGTTGTCTTTCCTAAGTACACTTCGGCACATGGAGGGGCAAGACTGCCAACTTCACAATTAGTGGACAACCTGCTCCACCACCTGAGCCATGGCCGCTGTTGGGCCAAAGCTAAGTTCCAAGAGGAGTTGGTTTTAACAGGCATTTTGTATGGCCCATAAAGAGTGCATTGCAGTTGTCCACGCTACAGGTCATAAAAGCATGACACAAGAGGAAATACTCTACTGTTCAACCTAAAAAAAAATAATTCAAGGCTGAGAGGTAGGACACCTTAGTGATTTTTTACAGGTGTGCATTCACCTCTGTATTGCACTGTAGCTTTGGTGATCTCTTACTTTGATTTGTGACCAGACACTTCTGAACCATACTCAATATTCTCAGCTGTTCTTCTGTTTAGTGGCAATTAGCAAATCCTGGCACACAAAACCAAGTTAATTGCTGACCCTAACACGTAGCTAACAGAGCTCCTTCCATGGCTGTGGAGTAAATTACTGAAACAAATAATGGATAATGAAAGTTACTGGCAATTAGTTTTCCATAGACTGCCCTATTGATTCATTGGTGAATTCTTTCGACACTACATCTCTCCCCTGTCTATAATCTAAAGTGCATATCTCTTACTGTCCCCAGCTGAACAGCTATACATCTTCATTTTACCCATAAACACAGACTGTGGTTCTCACTCTGAACTCCTGCTGTTAGAAAGCCAATTGTCCCTCCACTCTGTTCTCATGCCCCAGGCAAGGTTAGCCAGGGAGCAGTAAACAACAGAAAATGTGTGTGGCTGCTGCTGTCAGCCATTTGTCATCAAAGATTAGTCTGACCATTAGATCAGCTGCTTTTTGTTGCCTTCTATTTGTTTTAGTCTTCTTTTCTTCCATTATAGCTTTTGTTTTGCAAACCCGCTGCAACTGTTCACTTGCAGATGTTAAGTCAGAGGAGAAGCTGCTTGGTGAAAGGAGGAGGCGCGAGGAGGAGGAGACGGAGGGTATGGATGGTGGGTAGAGGTGGGGGATGGTGGTTTTACAGAGGGTGAGGGAGCCACTTCAGCTCAAATGAGTGAAAGGGAGGAGAGGAGGGGTGGGAGAGGGGGAAAGTGGAGTGAAGGAAGATCAGCCCACAGGGGGGGCAGTGAGATAATCAGCACAAGGAGAACCATTCTCCCACTCAGCTGGAACAAAAGGTCCTTGCCAGCGTGTGTGTGCTTGTTTGTGTGTGTGTGTGTGTGTGTGTGTATGTGTGTGTATTGATATCCCTATAGAGTCGGCGGGACAGGACGCCTCCCCTGACAGTTTGGGAGTGTTTTTTGTTTTGTGCACTAGCTTTAAGGATGCATTGCCTTTGCCATCGTATACTTGGTTTTCTTCTTGCTGTGTGTGTATGTGAGACTCTGTTTGATCGTATTGACTGCTGTGGATACAGGTACCACCGGGTGACAGCAGTGGAAAGTAACCAAGTACATGTGACTACGTACTTGATGCTGTGCTACAGTTGAGAAGGCAGTTTTGTATGTTTTCCTCACTACGTTTATCTGGTAGGTTTACATTGCAGATTAGCAAATTAAACTTCTGGTATTTTTACTAAATAGAATCTTTATCCAACAAGGCAAGGTTTTATAAAATAGATAAAGTTGTGTGTAGAACCAGCTACAAAATTTAAAATCAATCATGTAATGCGCATAAAAAATATACCACTTAAAGCTGCAGTCATTGTTTTTTGACCACTTGGGGGCAGCAGAACAAGCAGTCAACACAACACTGACATATGATCACAACACAGGTGTTGATCTCTACGTACTCGTGGATTTGGAAAGTATAACACCTAATATGTTTTAGTTGCTGGGCACAGTGGGTTAATCAAAGCTCGTTTGATGTGCACAGGTGCTTGTTGATATGCTTTTCAGGCTAAAAGATGCTAAAAATGCTCTGCAGAGTGGAGGGAAACTGCAGAGCTACATAACTCTCTCTATCTTTGTCACCATGACTGACCTCTTTTGTATTAGGTCTAGTCATTTAACACGTCTACAGTTTTAAAATGATAATTGTCTCACTGATCATTCGTTTTACCCATAAAAACTCACCTGACTCTATCAGAGTTACATATTTAGAAATTGTGTCCATTAAAATAATCCCTTCTTATCGACATACAGTGTAAGAGAGAGACTATATATGTAAAGAATCCCGAATAGAAATCTATGGGAGGCTTCCATAATGGTGGCATTTGTTTGTTTCATGCCCTGCCAAGTCCCCCCCCAAAAGTGTTGTCTGCTTTAAAACGTCCAAATTAGGGAACATCCAACCAACACAAGCAGTGCCATGAAACATAGCAGATGTATAACCTGTGGGAAATGTTTTTTAATCCTTATTTTAAAGAAATCACCAAAGTTTTTAGATTTTTTTATTTTATTTTTGTCAAACTGGTGATTCTATACAATTATACATGCAGTCTCTGTGTCTCAGTGACTGGTGAAATTGCTGTTGTGGCTCTGTCCCTATTCATTTAGATAGTAGCCTGTCTTGTTTGCCCTATATATAATAGCAGAAACTGTCAAAATAAATAGCCTAAAACAGCGAGATTTGCTTATAAGGACCTTTAATTGTCCTCAGTCAGTTAATGGCTGAGTTCTGAGAACAGGGCATAATTACTAAAAACACAGGGTAGGACCCATGAAGCTCAAAGTAAACTTTTCTTTTTGGATGTGTTCACTTTCATTGAAACACTGTATTTCTTGCCTCACTAGTGGAACTAACTTTGATAAATGCAATCTAATCATGATCAAAAGAAATAATGGACAAAACCTAAAAAAACAACACTGAATAGATTGTAATAAAGTGGAAATGTTGTTCAGGCAAAAGCTTGGGGTGGTTTTTGATGGTAAAGACTGTGTTTATTACTACTTTTGCTTAATGAAAGTTCTGCTTCCATACACATTGTCTTTCTGGCTGAGGAGAAGGAAGCAGACGGACAGGTTAGGGATTACGGGTCAGTGTAATTTCCTTCAGCTGTCTTGGTTGCTGCAGGGAAGGTTTTTGGAGACTTTGACGCTAAACCTTTAAGTCTGGGGCAGAAGAGAAGAGGGAGGTAGAGGGATTTCCAGTAATACCTTTCATTTTTCATTCTCAGCCTCCCTGTGTTGTTTTACAACAAAATCATTTTCCTATCTTTGTTTTATCTGGAAATATTAGTCCTCTTTCTCTTTTCTTCTTTTTGTCCATCCCTCCTTCTTCCTCATTGTGCTTTTCTCTCTCTCCTCCTCTCTCTAGTCTTTATTATCATTCCTCTAGTGATTCCACTGATGAATGGAGGGACTTTTTCGTATCCTTCTGAGGAAAAAGTAATTTGTATTCTGCCCTTACTCTTCCTACTTTCATCTCTCCCTTCCTCCCTCCCTCCTCCTGTTTTCTTCCCCTTCTGTCTCTCTTCTTCTCCACAATAATAAGTGACAGTACAGGTTAGCGAGTCCCCTCCACCCCCTCCCTCCTCACCCACCCCCAATGGTCACCTTCAAAAAGACCTTGCCATATGGGCCAGACCATCTGGACTGTACCATGTTACATGCAGTAAGGGAGGGGATGAGAGCCCAGTTGGGGGGAAATTAAGGGACGTAACAGCCAAACGCTCACAGAGCAGCTGAACCCTCTCAAAAGCCATGACGTGCAGTCCATCCTAAGTTCATAAAAAAGCCTAGTGTTAAACTAGTGCACTCTCAGGGGAAGGATCAGTAATAGGAGTCCTCAATAATTCAGAGAGGAAATTCAATAGTGGCTTCACCATTAAACAAACACACACATCACACTCTTTCAGGCTATTAAGGCTGCTGCGTAGTTTATGATGGTAATCACATTGTCAGACACATACAAACACGCAGCTTCTACATAATTTACTCATCCCTCCTGGTGCACCAACACAAAGAGAATCTATGTTTTCCTTGAAACTAAATCTTCCTCTTTCTTCTCTCTCCGTCTCTTTATTTTAGGGATCGAGCTTTGTTTGCCAGGCTGGCGTTTCTCCATGACCATGGTGGCCAGTTTTCTGATGGTGGGCGGGCAGCTACTGATGCCAGGGGTGGCCGCTCTGTGCCGCAATTGGCCAAACCGGGATGACTGGCAGGTCCTGCAGATCGTCATAATCAGCCCTTTCGTTCTGATGCTGCCCTATGTATGGTGAGTCCCACCCTCAGAGGAAATCCACAGTGAGGGGGGTAGATTCTTCTCTTGCTGAGCCAGGCGATGGCTTGTACAGTACACACTGCACTACACAGTACTATGCACAGTCTGCTTTGACTAACAAACAATACTCTCTTTCTCCACTTGTTTTTCTTCTTTCCTCTCTGCTTCTTTCTTGCTCTTACAACATACTCTGCTCTCATCCTTTGTCTGTTTCTCCATGTCCTTCCTATCCCTCTCTTTCTGTCACTCTGTAGGATTTTTCCCGAATCGCTGCGCTGGTTGCTGGCCACCCAGCACTACAGGCGATCCAAAGCCATGATGCTGCGCATCGCCAGGAAGAACCAGGTTGACATGACAACGGAGCCCAGCGGAGTTCTTACAGGTGAGGACAAATTCAGGAGGGACAGTAAACAAGATTAAAAGCTTCCAAATCCATTTTGCTACAAATGCTACACTTTCTGTTGCTTTATTCACTTCATTATGCAATTTATTTTACATCATCATCTACAGTATGTTATGTTGCAGCTGCTCTTTGGTGTGTGATGAAATGAACACGCAATCGAATACAAAGACACTGACACGCATGCAACGACTCAAAGAGGTCTTTTTCAAGGGTGCCCAAGTTTTCAAGCATCACTTCCCAGATCGTTCGATGATGAAATGCGATTGCAATCAAAGACATACGCAATCACCTTTAGATCATTATTTAGATCAGAGGTTTTTCACTGGAGGATCAATAAAGTCTGACTAGAAGCAGTCAGTAACAATTATTTTCCACTATTTCCACTATTAATTAAGACATCACTATGTGTGTTACTTTTACAATTTCTCATATCATATAAAAATGTCAGAAATTATGAAAAATACCCATTGTGAGTGCTTAAAGCTCAAGTTGAAGTCTTTAAATTGCCTGTTTTGTCTGACCAGCAGCTCACAAGCCACACATATTAAATTCACAGTTATACAGCACAGTAAGTTTTCACATTTGAGTACAAATTTGGCTTCAAAAATGATATATCAAAATAGCTAGCGACTAATTATCTAGCACTTGAACGGTCCCAAAAGATCTAACACATTAGTGATTTTCTTCTCTTATATCTCTCCTCTCCCTGCCACCCTCACTTCTTCCTCCCCTGTGCTGGCGTTTGATTCATTGCCTCTGCCTTTCCCAGTGGCCTGGCAGACAGATAGATGATGAGAGTGGGAAGAGTGATGTCCTATATCTGTCTAAAGGCCCCACAGCACTTTCGCTTCTCTGTGCTAAAGTTCCCTTAGCAGCCGGCCTCTCATTACCTTCTGAAAGGAAGGGTCTCAAGGTGTGCGTTTCATGTTTCCTACCAGAGCTGGAGCAGGAGCTGCACAAGAAACCCCAGAGGACCTGCATTGTCAAGATGATGAGCACCAGGAACCTGTGGAAAAACATTGTGGTGCTGTGTGTCAACTCGTAAGTGTGTTGCGTTTGTGGCTGGGCTTGTACAGTTTCTTTGCTAATCAAAGCCAACATCCGTTGTGTTGAGAGCATGAATTACACATGAGCTCGTCCCCAGAGAGAAATGAAGACATGTATGTGAGTGTAACCCTCAGTCGCCCCGTGGCAGACACATGTCAAAGGTACCACCTCCCTGGCCGTTTTCTCATTCTTTGTTTATGTGTTGTTTGTGCAGTCTCACAGGTTATGGGATTCACCACTGCTTTGCCCGCAGTATGATGGACCCTGAGGCCCAGCCCACTGCTTTGTGCCATGCTGACTATTACACCATGGCTGGCATCGCCGTGGCAACATGCCTGGCACTTTGCCCCGCGGTGGGGTTGATGGGTCGGCGTGGAGGGCTGCTAACTTTCATGATCATAACGGCCCTGGCATCACTACTTCAGCTCGGTTTGCTTAACCGTGAGTAATCATAAACAGATTGTTAGTGAAGGCTTAAGTCAGTTCACTGTGGCAACATAGCCAGAATTTCCCCACAAATCTTTTTGTTAATGAGGTCTTTACATACATTTGATGCCTGCATAATAAAATAATAACTCAGCAAAGGACTGATAGAAAAAGGCCTTGATTGTTCTCCAGGATGGATGTGGTTGCTGACAGCTGTGGATGTGCCTGCACTGTATACTGCAAATCAGACATGTTCCACACATGCACACGAGAAAACATGACAGCAAAAAGAAAGTTTTCTTTCTTGTGTCTGGTTGAACAACATGCAACTTCTTAGTGAGAACAGAACCAAGGATGTGGATAAAAAAAATGTATTTTTACTTTTTTGTGTACGTGTAATTAGTGCACTTGTAATACAATGTAATGTAAATACATTTTAGTCACACTGACATTCGTCTGACTCAGTGGGTGTAGACTGTGGGTATAAGTCATCCCATGCAGCTTTCTCCCACCCTTTCCGTTATCTGGGTGTTACCATACAGATTTGAAATCACCTTTGATATGGGAACCAACAACAGCAACCTCTGAGCAGCAACCTACATGATGGCAAGTTTTGATGAAGATTTGGCTTTTGCAATAAGCCAGGGCTGCTTGGATCTTTTAATAAATTGGGCATTTAAATGAAAGGGCTTGTCTCCTTGCATGCAAATGTTCCATTCCTCCAACACTGTATTGCAGGGGTTCCATCACTGCATCCTGGGCTTAGCACTAGCTAAGACCGATTGTGATTTGTTTTAAAAGCTACTCAAAAGTGACATTTAACATTAGCTATTAGTATAATGTTTATAATGTACAATATGTATCTCTTTCACAAGAGATTTACAAGCATGAGGAATGAGCAATGAGTTTAACAAGTATATCTCAGGTCATTAGAGGAGCATAGCTGCGGAAGTTACTGTAATCTGTAACTTTAAAATAACAGTAGCATAATAACCAATCGCTGAATAAATCATCCAGTTCCCTCCTGTAATGTTAACCTTGATTGTACTCTCTAGCGGCTGTACTCAGGGACAATTACAGACACCACAAATGCGCAGTAGTCGTTTAGTCCACTTGGAGTCTGCTTGGAATTTTGCACATGTACACTCCTGCTGGACCTGTAGCATAGGCACATAAACACAAATTTGCGGACGTTGAAAGTATAGCACTGGCCTTATGCATCCTTTCCACAAAGTTATGTTTGGTGTGTGTAATTCCATTTAAAATATAAACTAAGTAATCTGGTATTCAGTGCTTAGAAATTTCTTTGTGGATGGATGGGTAGGTTCACTTTATCAGTTTTATGGAATATATGGATAGAGCAGCACTGTGATATAAACCGGAGCAATGATGCATGGTAAAAAATAAGGGAAGAAGTTGACCTACCAGGTGTATCCTTGACTGAGTGAAATATTTAGTCAAAAGACATACAGTGCTATGAAAAAGGGTTTGCCTTCCTACAGATATTTGTTTATTTTTGCATATTTGTCACACATAAATGTTTCAGATCATCAAACTAATTTTAATTTAAGACAAAGATAACCTAAAAAAAACCCACACACACACACAAAATGCAGTTTTTAAATGATATCATTATTGAAGGAAAGGTGCAATCCAGCCCCACTGTGCTCTATGTGTAAAAGCAATTGCCCCCTTAGCTACCAGTCTACCAAAAGTTTCACCAGTCACACTCTTGTGTGATTACTGCCAGGCTTGTTGAATCCAATCATTGCTTAGATAGAACCTGTCTGGCATTGTGACGTCGGCTAAAGGGTCTTAAAAAGCAGCACTTGATGCCACGTTCTAAAGAGATTCAAGAACAGATGCGAAACAAAGTCGTTGACATTTATCAGTCTGGACAGGGTTACAAAGCCATTGCTAGGGCTCTGGGACTCCAGAGAACCACGGTGAGAGCCATTATCCACAAATGGAAAAACATGGAACAGTAGAGAGTTGCAAGGAGCAATCGAGTCAAAGTCCAGACTTGAATCCAATTGCGATGCAGTGGTAAGACCTTAAAAGTGCAGCTCATGTGGGTACAAAGACTGATCACAAGCTATCACAAACCTTTAACCGCAGTTGTCGCTGCCAAGGGCCCAACCAGTTATTGGGTTTAGGGGGGCAATTACTTTTTCACAGGGGTGACATAGGTTTTCAATAAATCTTTAATGAATGATCATTTAAAACTGCATTTTGTTTTGTGGTTTATCTCTGTCTAATATTAAATATAAATATTAATCTGATCATCTGGAACATTTAAGTGTGAGAGATATCCAAAATTAAGACAACATCAGGGAGGGGACCTATATTTTTTCACAGCACTGTATGAGTCACTCTGTGTGTTACACTGCTAGCATGTGAATGTTAAACTATCAAAACTTTTTCATGATACATCTACACAATTTGACTGTCAACTTTGTCAATTGACACAACAGCCTATTAATGTTTTTTTTTTAATTATTTTTATTTTTACATTTTTTGGCACAATATCTGGTCTTTTCGAAAGCCACCACAAAAGTGAATTGTTTTAATGTCCTTAAGGCAAATTTGGGACCTGAAAAAATATAACCACAAATATAGTCAGTAAGCTAGTTAACTGGACATGCTAACGTTAGCATCTTACATCAGAGCTACAAACGCACAGTTATAGCATTATACTTTTGTTCTTTTGTTTTCAGTTTTGAAAGTTAAAGGATAAAAAATCCTCCAAACTCCTTGGGTAGTTGATTTGATCTCATTATTATCAGCTGTGCTGCATGCGCTGTGCTTAATTGGCGTGTTGAGATTATTTTAAAGCCAAGAGACCTTCTGTGCATATAATTGCTATTTGGGGAAAATGTTTAGATATGCTTCAAATCGGATAAATAAGTTCCGGAAGTTTAGGAAACTGTCTTGGACACACACACTGCAAAACATGAAGCGGAAATTGCTGCACACCATGCATGCCATCCTGAGTCATTAAAACAGAACAGACTGCAGTTCAGTCCACAGTCAAATAGGAGCCTCCCCTCATTCTGCCTTTTTGACCTACATCTGCAGTACACAGTCATTATTTCAGGCCTCAGTGGTAAACTGTTCCGAATTCTCCTCAAAGCTTTAAAAAAAAAAAAAAATTATTCTGCTTATTTTGCATCAGCACTGTGCTGCTCTTTGTACTAACTAATGACATGCTCTCTTCTGTTCTCCAATGCTCACTAATGGAATCCAGTGATTGGGAAGTACAGTCTTCGCCACGACACAGGTACGTCTTCAGTTTGGTGAAAATAAACTATTCTGTTGATGTGAGAACATAGATATTGTATTTCAACTTCAAGGTCACCCTACCATATTATAAGCACTCTGATTCATTGAGTCACACTGGCTGATGTCTGTGCTGTATGCTGGCCATCATTGGTGTGCTTACCTTGTCTTGCTCTCTGCTGGGCAGTTCTTCGAGACACTCTGAACAGGAAATTCTCTGTGGCCTTCTCCATCATTGGCATGTTCTCCTCTCATGCTGTCAGCATACTCAGCATCTTCTTTTGTGCAGAAATCACCCCTACTGTCATCAGGTAAGCCTGCATGGTCATAAACTCAGTACTACCCTTATGGGACCCTTTTGGCAAACTATTTATTACACATAAACTGTATACGTTGTGCAGCAGCTGAGGAAGGGAAGTAGGTAAGCAATGTGGGTATGTAATGTGTTAAAGAAAAGCTCAGAAAAACTGCTGTATTATCCTTATTGCACAGTCTGAACAAATGATGCCACAAAAGGGTCACACTTAAATCACAGAAGCAGAAAACACTAAATGTTTACAGCCATCTGACAGTTTACAGCCATCAGTTCCGTACCTATGCAACACAGGTGCCCTTTAAGTAGATAAAAACCCACATGTGATGACCTTTAAAGGTAACTGGCATTGCACCCAGAAAGGCAATCACTGGTATTTAAAAAGCAACCAATTAGCATGCAGCACAGTACTTAAGTATGCGCAGAAAAAGACCATGTGCATCCAAATGTGCTTGTGTGCCATTGATGTACGCTGTACATTGACTAAAGAATGCCTACAAAAATTCAATTACATTATGAATGAAGATAAAACTGCTGCAAACTCAATGTAAAATTTGCGACGCACCAGTTCGATAAACAGAATACTTATTGGTACCAATTATTAACATCAGATCAGAGACTTGACAAAACACCATTAAAAACTGTTTCTGCGTCAATGTTTTGTTTTTTTTTTAATTAGTTTTTCTCTTATTACCTATATACATTCAGTCATTGCAGACTGCTTTTATTGTGAGACGCCTTATGCCACCTCAGAAAAATCCAGTGACAGGAAAAAGAGTCAGAACTTGGTATTAATAGAAATTAGTGTCGTCTTTGGAAAACCATGATGGTTCTATTTAACTGACAGCAGATTCCACGTATCTCTTTAACTAATGTCTCTTGACGTACACACTGTTAATACAAAATGGTGAAGTGCTTTTGTTTCTTGTATACTACCTGCAGAAACAGCATACTTTGACAAGTAGTATGTATTTAACATTGTAGATTATCACAGTGCATGAATCAAAGGACACAGTTCCTGTTCTCAGATTGCTTATTGGCACCATCTTGTGGTGCAGCTTGGACTAACAGGAAGCATGGTGCATGATGGCCTCAAAGGGTTCAGTACACTTCTGGTCTGACTCACCGGATATCGGTTGTGGGTATAAGTCTGCCATTCATGCAGACTTCTCCTCCTCTTCTGTGGGTTGTTTTTAAAATCCCCTTCACTACAGGAACAACAACCTCTGTGCTGCAATCTATGGCACTAAAAAAATTCAAGTTTTGCTTAGTATTTGCATTGTGTATTAAAGCAGCCCTGCCAGCTTTTTTCAGTTAATTTGCAATTTTACTCGCAGTTTCTGTCTCCCTGCATGCAAATGTTCCACCAAAACAGTTCTTCTGTCATAATTTTGACCAGACACCATTGTCACATCATAAGCTCAACTCCATTGAAGATGATTCTGATTGGTTTAAAGGATTATTTTAAAAAAGGCCTATAGCAAAATGACAGTGTAGTTTGTTTTAAACTAACTATTCCATATTAAGCGTGATCCAGAGATAAATCAAAGTATTTACTCTGGTTTTAAATGGCTACATTTGACGATTGGGGTAGAAGCGATGTTGTAGAGCAGACCAGGACATAGAGGCATACACTTTGAGTTTCTCCTCATAGCAATTCATACTGTTCACCTGGTTTGAAAACAAAAAAGATGGAAGTAAGTTGTGTGAAGAATAAAAATGAGAGTTTGAGAGGAAAGTTTGCTTTATAGGATGTAGCTTCCCAATTACAACACTGTTCAATGCATGTTGTTCGAAGCACATTGATGCTGTTTATAATTCAAGTTCCATCAGGAAACCTCAGTAATAGATCAGTTGTGTCTCTCTGTGCAGGGGTGGAGGGCTGGGCTTGGTTCTCGCCAGTGCCGGCTTTGGCATGCTCACCGCACCCATTATGGAACTCCACAACCAGAAGGGCTACTTCCTGCATCATGTGATCTTTGCCTGCTGCACCCTTTTGTGCATCATCTGCCTGCTGCTGCTTCCTGAGCCGCGAGGTCAGCCGCTGCCGGAGAGCCTGGCTGACGGGGAGACCTTCACCCGGCAGACGCTGCTCCATCCAGGAGAGCAGCACCTCCTTCTTGCCAAGAGCGACAGGGACTACTCCCGCGTCCATGACACACCGTTACACCTCTCAGCCACCGGGGGCGCGACAGTGGCAGCAGCCACCGCTCTGGCAGCGGTACCTGCCTCATACGCACTTGCAACTGGTGGGGAGGTGATTGGAAATCGTGCCATAGCCAATGGAGTGTGAGCATCAGAGCAATACTCTACTACTGTGCTAATAACTGCTCCAGCATTAACCTGACTGAACAGTCACTGAACTTGTGAACAAAACCTTTAAGGGAAAAGAATTGTTCGGATGAACCAGATGAACTCTTGTTGTGGTGAGGTTTGAAATGATGATTATAGTAAATTTGTGTAATTTGTAGTGACTATGATTCATTCAGGAGTTGCCAAAAACTATTGTACTGGACTAAACTTATCTGAAGTCAGTGTGTGTTAAATAATATGAACGTCTTCAGTGGTGTTGGTGATTTTCTTGAGCTGCTGTCTGCTCTGTCAGGAGTGTTTTACAGATAAAATAAGCAGACACAGACAAGTGAAGAGGCAAAGTACAGTAGATTACCTTTTAATAATGTGTGCTCTGTGAGTTTTCTGTTTGTAGTTTTGACTAGTTGAAACAGGATTTCACTGCATCTTATAATTCTTTATAAGTTATTTTGCACTAAATGTCAGAGACACAATCAAGTGTTTGTGATTTTTAGCCAACACATTGGGAGATCCAGGGATTGGCTAAACCACTACCACTCTTTTTGCATGAAAGGGCACAAATGGTTTTACATGTTTTTTCTTCTTCATTTGTGGTCTCACTACTACAAGTCCAATGTGGCACTTTATCCTCCAAGGTGAGGTCAGTGTAGACACTGATTTCTAAATCAGCATTACTACTGTGGTGGGCGTATGATGGTTGTCAGATGTGACGAACAGCCGGAGACCTTGGCAGACTGTATGTGTAGCCTTTACAGACTGTGCTTATTGCTAAAACAAATCTGAGAGCTGAACGGACATTTGAGTGACTTGTCGGTCCACTGATCTGTCTTATGATGCATCTCAGCATTTAAATGGCTTTATCATGATGGCTCTGTTCTTTTAACAAAACAGAGACGATACAATGTAATTTAAAAAAAACAAAAAAAAAAACAGTATTTATTTTGTCATGTTGCCAAGGGCAATTTTGTTGCTTGAAATACCTCCTTAATTAGCAAATATTTCCATTCCAGCTCTCACTCCTTGTTCTCTGTACTGTGGTAATGTTGTAATCCTGCTCCTAGGAAGTGTAACTCTAGCCAGAAAGCACAATATTTTACAGTTTTTTGAAATAAACGTTTGTGAAGCTTAGAATAGAGCAGCATAGTCTGCATAGACCTGGCCTAGTTGTGATCAGTGTACATTTATACACTTTACTACGTAAGTATCCCTTAGGACTGCAAAAAAAATGTAAGGTATGCATACATATGCCATTCATTCATAATGTATGAAGCAATCCATCTCATAAACCATTTTTGTGCAAATATACCAGAACCCAAACATACAACACATCCTCCATTTTCTGATTCATATTTAGCACACAGTATGTATTTTGAACACCCTGTATGGTTTGCTAGTTTGTATGTTTTCAGCAGTTAAACATTCAGAGAGAAAAAAAGGAAAAGAAAAAAAACCCTCAACCACTAATGCTGTTTTCTAAGTGTTATTTTTTTAATATGATGCATTTGTACAAAAAGCCATAGGCCTACATGTTTTGATAATAAACCACTTAATTTATTATGTCAATAAAAGAACACTTGATGTGACTTGTTTGTATTGGTTATTGTGTTGGAGTGGGATTACTGTGTTGGAAACAGGGCTGAGCAATTAATGGATTTCAAATTGAAATCACAATTTGAAACAATGCAATTAGCAAATTGCAGAGGCGGCAATTTATGACTTATGAAGTGTGGCTATTAAATTACTGGAAGGAATGCTGTAATAAGAGCAGATTGAAACTGTCAGGGCTTGTTTATGCTTGCTCACTGATCAGTTAATACTAAGTGGTTCATTCATGCAGACTGTAGTTCAACTGACATAAGCTCAGTCCAGTTATTTAATAGCCACAGCTCATATATTTCGCAGTGTATTTGACCCAGGGTTCTGCTGTGTTAGTTGTTTCACAAACTTTTGATGGTATGTTGTGGAAATGCTCCTCCACATCTTGTACACGTATTACACAAAGAACTAAAAGCAGAACTTTGAAACATAATAATACGAATGGGAATTTCAACTTCTGTTAGACAAAACGCAATTACATATTTCCCCCATAATTGTTCAGCTGCAATTCCAAGTGCAAGGAACAGAAGAAGGAGCTGCTACTGTACACTGTCCTACGTCTACACATCACATGGGTAGGATGTGTTCAGAAGTGCTCAGGATGAAGCTCCAGCTCCTTTTTGATCCTGTTCTCCACCAAAAGACTGTGATTGGAGTCCGTTACTGGAATACTGTAACTCACAAACACTTGCTTTTTTGTCTTCTTTGCTGCAATACAGACAGAAACAGGCACTTATTTCAATTTTCAGTTTAGACAATGCACAAAATGGTGTGTTCTTGTATAAAATGAAAGTCACCAGTCTGTTATGGAAACTTGAGAAAGAGGGCTGCTCTTTGTCACTATGTTAACCTTAAAGGACCATGTCAGTGTTTTTTTTTGCATGTTTTAGTCTATTTAGTGTGACTGCTGTGTATTTTTCTGCCCTGCAAACCTTTTTTCCAAAGTCCATGATAGGTTGTGTATTTTTATTTATATCTATTTATTTGCTTACATTTCAAGAAGCCTCTTGTCTTTTAAACTTTATGTATTTTGACAATCAACTTGTAGAAACTTGAATTGAATTGATTTATTTGACACTCACCATTTCTCACAATTACTTACTATCGTCATCCTTTATATTTTTTCCAGACTTATGGTATCATTTTGTGTTTGTACAATGCAAACTTTTCAGTCAGTCTACACTTGCAGTCGCATTAACACACTCTGACAACACCAAAAGCAGTTTACTCTAAAGTATCACTTTCATTATCTACTGAAATAAAAGTTGGAACTGTTGACAGTAAAGTGATTTCAGGCTACACCTCCATAAATACTTCATTAAACACTGGTATGGTCCTTTAATATCCACATTACTTTAAATGAGCTTTTTAAACAACTTCTAATACACACATCTTATAGCAGACATAGTAAGACACATATCACTTACCCAATCTCTGTGCCAAAGAATTTGGAGCTGTGTTGGATGGGTCCCCCAACACTAACGTAGACAATGGCATTGAATCCTGGAGAAGAAAAAAAAGGACAAAAGCTGTTAACTTTCCTTCAGAGGAAACTGATCATTTATCTGGCCTCCAAAATGATCTTTAACTCTCTTAATGTCTACTAGCAAATGTATTCTTTTTCAACTGAGCAGTAGATCCCAGAATCTATCTATCTATCTATCTATCTATCTATCTATCTATCTATCTATCTATCTATCTATCTATCTATCTATCTATATTCTCCCAGTGACTCCAAATTGCAGATACAGCTTAGGTACTTCTGATTTCTGGTCTGCGATAGATGTAGCATGTATCATAGATACATTAGGATTCAATCTCTCTGTTGTTTAGCCTATCATCATTGATATAAATGGTTCAAATAAAATAATAGAAGCATTGATATATAAATCCCAACCTTATTGGTAATTCAGCGGTCTTAAAATACAGTATATATGAGCATGGAGAGTAAAAAAGAAGCAAACAGACGGCTGAGTTTAGATTTCAATTACTACTGGGGCCACAAAAACACAGCCACCCACTCAGTCCTTATATATTGATTACAAATCGGTCCCAAAGTTTCCACCATCTCTGAATGTCTCTCAACCTACAGTTTCCACAGAGCTCTGGCCTGCAGGCATACAATCAAAGCTAGCGGTTAATGTTAGTTTTTCCATTGCTGCAGGGCCATTGCCATCAAAAATAAAAGTCATCCACAGAATCTTCAGTTCCTCAGATACTGGAAGTGCATGAAGACTCTTGTGTTCACTCTGGCAGCAAACAGCAGAACATTTGGGGAGCTTTGCTTGTGGCTGAGACGTTTTGGAGTTAGCAGAAATACCTCTGTAAAGTAAATATCAGTAAGGCAGCTGCTTACTGTGAATGGCTCACCATAAAGTAGGAGGCAGGACCGGCTGCGTTACAAGGGCAGTAGTGCACAGGCTGGGCAGTGGTTGTGTGTGTGTGTGTGTGCGGAACAAGTAGATGGACTCAGCATGTATGTAACGGAGTACAATGGAGTATAACAGCTACAACGTTGCGTCTGTGGTGTGGTTCACAACCTGTAGACTCCAAAATGAGCTGTGAACACTTTAAACAAAAACGAAGCATCAAGGTTGTAATTCTTATATAAATCTTGATGAATCGTGATTCAGCAGCACTGTTGTGTTACACAGCATCAGTTGTAGCTCGGTGTCCCTGACTATACATGAAGCTGTGACTGTTTCTGGAAAGTGTCGTCTTCGGGTAATCTAGTGAATATTGCATCATGTAAAAATCTATTGTTGCCCTTTTTTAGTTCTGCTCACTGATTTCTCACATTTAGTTTGGCTGTGCTTCCATATTCAACGTTACTTACATATTTGCTGCTCATAGAGACCGCCAGGTTGGACAGAACCGGAGCAGAACCGACCCAGAGGAAAAACCCGCCGCTGAACTTCATCACGTGGAAGTGTACAACCTGCTCCAAAATCTTTTCCGTAAAATTGTGGACAGAAATTGCATCAAACTCCGCTCCATTCTCTGAATTCATTTTTGCTTCAGCCGAAAGTAGCTGTGAACATGTGAAACTAGCTGAAAACAGCAACTTCCTGGTTACAGACAAACGGCAGACCAAAGCAATCGATCACCAGAGCCGGTAGAGCGCAGTGCAACTGATGATCCTTAGCGCAGACTGGGCTCCATTAATCACACTACTGACTGTGGAAGTTGGACGTTTAATGTGAAATAAAACTTTTAACACCTTTTGTAAAAGACTTCTGCTGCAAAATAAGAGCTGCCATCAAGGGGTTTATTGTTAATTGTGAATAAATATTTTACAAATGCAGTAAGCAAATTTGAGGTTTCCTTGTCTTAAATCTTAATCTTACTTAGAAATATTGCTTTCTCAGTTATCAATAAAGCATCAATGCTGCAGTTATTTTAATGAAATGTTGTGAGATTAGGCTCCAGATCATCCAAGTGAAAAAGATTGTTCCAACCATGTAGCTCGATGTCAGACGTTAGTATTAGTGACTTCTATCAAATTTGTAATGCAAAGTGCTGTACATTACAGAACACAATCAGAAGGGGTCAGGGGATACAAAATAAAATACAAAACCCCACCCACCCTCCCAGCCCACATTTACACAGAATGCCACTCACGCACACACACACACACACACACAGGGACACCAAGTCAGGTGGCAAACAGGAGCAAAAACTAAAATGATAAAATCATAAGAAATACATAACTAATAAAATGCTAAAAGTTGAAAACAAAATAAAGAACTGTTGAAAACCAGACTATAAAAGAAAATAAATGAAAAGTAGTAAAACATAAAATAGCAACTCTGAGACTTAAGTGGAGTAAAATCCATAAGATTAACGGAGTAGACTAAAAGAGAGGCTAAAAGAACAAAACCAAAATCAGCTAAAAGCCAGATTAAAAAGGTAGGTCTTGAGTTTGCCTTTAAAAATATGAACAGTAGGTGCTGCCCTCAGGTCTTCAGGTAGACTGTTCCACAGACGGGGGCCATAATGGTGAAATGATGCCTCACCATACGTTTTGGTTTGCACTTTGGGGACTATTGTGACGGCCCCCTGGTATATTGGTTGAACACATTGGCTGTCTGTATTGTGCTTTGCTTCCTCAGGTCCTTGGACTGCTGGAGTGGGCGGTCCTACCTGCGTGGCGCGCTTGGGCAACACTCCCAGGCTACAAAAGGACCAACCCCTTAGCTCCTACTCTGTCTCTCTTCCATGCTTGCGATTTGGTTTGGTGTCATTTTGGTTTTGTTTGCGCATCAGACAACACTTCGCACCACATCACATCCCGGCATCCAGTCACCCGCACCCACACTACTGACATCACTGACATACACACCTCATTTTGACAGCATTGATTTAACTAATTAATAAAAGCTTACGTTAAATCTGGCAATACTTGTGTCGCCTCCCCTCTTTTGCCATAACCTATTTTGCTGGGTTGTGACACTATTAAAAGACCACTACCTGAAGCACATCAGATAAATAAGAAGGAAAAAAGACCGTTAAGAGATTTATAAACTAATAAAAGAATCTTAAAATCTATTCTAAAAGATACAGGAAGCCAATGCAGAGATTTCAAAATTGGTGTAATGTGAGCTCTCCTTCTGGTCTTCGTCAGCATGTGTGCAGCTGAATTTTGCAGCAGCTGAAGCTGTGAAATGTTCTTTTTCAGAAGACCAGAGAATAGAGCATTACAATAATCAATTCTGCAAGTAATAAAAGCATGGAAAAGAGTCTCTGCAAAATCCCACTAAAACTAGCAGCCACTTCAGAAGTAAGATAGCGTTTCCTGACAGTACGCTCTGGGATGTCTTGCTGGATAAAATCCTTTACGTTAAAAAACACACAGAAGTGATCAGACAGGCCCACATCCACAACCGAGGACACCGCAGCTGAAAGTCCATATGTTCTGAAAAAATCCAAGCTATTTCCTCAGATGTGGGTGGGGCCTGACACATGTTGGTGCAAATTCATACAGTTAATTAGGTTTAAAAATTCACTGCTAAAAGAATCAGATTATCAATATGAATATTAAAATCCCCTAAAATAATTATCCTGTTGTACCTTGCTTGGATGATCGACAACAGCTCTGTACACTCACTTATAAAATACGAGCATCTTTTGGGTGGCCTGTAAATGGTAAGACAAAACTGAGTACATTTACTCAACTACTATACTTCAGTGCAATTCTGAGTTACTTGTAGGCTTACTGTACTTTCAGTTAATACTACTTTATACTTCTGCTCCGCTACATTCCAGAGGGGAATATTGTACTTTCTCATATGTGTGTCATATGTAATAATACAGTATATCAGTCACAGGGACCAAACCCATAGTTTTACCTTAATACTTTAACTACATTTTGCTGCTAATCCTCATATTCTTTTACTTAAGTAGGATTTTTCATGCATGAATTTTACTTGTTTCTTAAGCATTAACAAAGCCTCTAATTACACCTTGTAGGCTAATAAAGCCTTTGTAAACTGGCACACAGGCTTAGGAAGCAACTGAATATGTGGAGGAGCAATATGTGAGTAGAATACCAAAACGTAACTATAATCTTTGAAATATAGACATATTTTGCTTACTATAGCTGTTAACAGATAATCAGTAATAAAGTTATAATAATAATAACAAGGGTAATAAACTGTGGTGGTACTATACCTTCAATTCATGACAACAGCTGTTTTTCAAATGCATATATTTTTATTTAATATAAACAATTAATCAAGATTACCACAGATGAAAATTCTCTTACTTATTTTATAAAAATGTACTCAAAAAATAACATTCAAATTATTGAAAATATATACGTACATATTTGTGAGTAACTAATATTAATTCTGCTTCTCCCCAGCTAAATGACAGATCAGTCGTTTTGTTCTTCTAGAAAGTCTTCCACCAGTTTGTTGAATTCATCAGCATACCTCAGGTGCAGGTTGTGCTTTCCCTCTGGCATTGAATATAATCTAGATTTTGGAATGAAAAATGTATGTTAGCTTGCACTCCACACTGAACTTTATAAATTGAGGGAATTGGGATGTTGTGGTGTGTTCTTACTGAGATCCTTTGATGTGCTTGAGGAGGTACTGAGGATGGACGCTTGGCACCATGGGGTCTTTGTCTCCATGGATGATGAGAGTTGGACACCTGATCAGGGGCAGAAGCTCCATGCAGATGCTCCCTAACCAGAGACATTAAGGCAGACAGTCTGGCTTTTTAGCTGCCTTTTTTTTTTATTATTATTAGAACAAATTATCACGAGTCTTACATTTTCCTCCTAGATGTTCCTTGAGTATACATGTAATAGTGATGTTGCAGTTTGCTAAACTTGACGTGTCATGAGTCTGTAGCAGCACAGAGTCCTCACCTTCTGGTCTGTGGAAAAAATGTTTGATTCCATCCACCCAACCCTCCCATGTTTTAGCAAAGACTTGTGCTCCATACACCTCCTCCATGGGTTGTCTCATCCTTGCACTCCACTTAGAGACATCACGGACCGCTGTGGAAAACACACACACAATACGCAGGCAAGAAAGACTGTATCATACACAGTTTACAAAGAAGCCTGTTCATGACTGTGCTGGCAGTTATCTGACACAATGAAAAGTAAAGTACCATCATAAAGCTTGAGGTCTTGCTCAGAAACAAAGGCATTGGCTCCCCACACAACCATCTTGTTGATGAGGTCAGGGTTCCGCGCTGCTGCAATCAGAGAGGTGATTCCTCCGTCACTCCACCCCAGCAGAGAGAATTTTCCAAAGCCCAGTGCCTGCCAAAGACATGACAAACACTTAAAACTGCACTGTTCTATCAAAGAAGTTACTGCAACTGCAAATTTAGTCTGTTCTGGCATTCAGTAAGGCAATCTTAGCCTTCACTCTGTGTATGAATGGTACCATATAGACTACACTTTTGTCTCAAATGCCAACATAATATAAATACAGATGAAAATTATCTTTCATGCTTCTGAAAAAAGGACGAGAACCTAATTTACCAGAATCCCTTTCTGCAGTAGCTGTTTGGGCCTATTTCATCCTGATTTTCCATTTTGTATTTGCTGTTTAATAACTTGTCATGCACATGATTACAGAATCTTTGTTAACAGTTTACACTGAAGGAAACTCTTGCACCTTTAACTTTAAACTTGTGTAAAAGCGCTGAGGTTATGACGTACATATAGTGCACTCGTTGTAATGAAAATAACATGAGGAAAAGAAGGGACGATCTACTATGTATACGATAATAGTGCACCCTACAAATGTCTAATGTTGCATATTTGTAGATGATAAGCTGTTAATGATTTTGAAAACTACATTTGTGTAGCATATACTTTAGATTAGATGAGGTTAATGAACAGCTCCTTTCATGTGAAAACAAACTGAAGACATTAAGTGAGCGGGCGCTGCAGAAAGCAGTTAAAATCCTTTGTATCCAGATAAAGTAAACCACTGAGCCCACAGGGGTTTCAATGCTAGAATAATATTTGCTAACATGGATTGATAATATGGCTATACAGATTAATAAACCATGTGGAATAATGTAAGCACCACGCAATGGAGACACACAGGTCAACACACAATTCAAGTCATATTTCACTGCCAATGCATACAGACCAGAACAGGTAGAATTTGTGCTTCAATACTTAAGTATAAACTGTGCAATAAAAAAAGTTTAGGTGCATCAAAATGATTCAAAATGATGACGCTGGCTGGTGTTTCAACACAGCGTTATATCACTTTTGTCTTTTAGACACTTGTTATATTTTCCCACTTTATTCTAAGTGATAGATGCTCTTTATTGTACTAAATGCTGAACTGAACGTACAGATTCGCACACCCATTTTTCTTTCTACCACGTAACCTCAAGACCAGGCTTCACCGTCAGCTGTGCAGTTCAGATGGCAATAATTTTCATGCTTGGCTAATGAACAGACCTTCATCAAATCCACAGCATCCTTTGCATCCCTCTCAAAGAAGTCAGGGGGGAAGTCTCTGTCTGGGGGGCGGGACTGTCCGTAACCACGGGGATCCCAGCCAACCACAGTGAAGCGCTCCTTATTTAGAGACTTAAGCTGAGGAGCAAAGTCTGTTTTTGTGCTCCCTGTGGTAGAAAAGACAGATTTTTTGGTGTTTTTGCCAAACCTAGCATTCACTAACGAATAAGCTAAGATGATATAAAACACAGATACTCTATGTATGAGATAAAAAAGACCTTGAGAACTTCCATGTATTGCAAAAAGCTTTACTTTTTTTTATTAAATGGAGGCGAGTGTGTTATTTACCCAAAGCACCAGGAAGCAACAGCACAGCGTGTTTCCCTCTGCCTGTCTGCTCGTAGTACAGATCTACTCCATTAACAGGCTGCCTGCCAGAGACCACTGAGGAGCTGCAGGGACACAAATAGACTGTGGCAGTAATGCTCAAAGTGGGTGGAAAACAACAGAATAAATCAGTCTGGTGAAAAAAAAAAAATCTGTTTAATTCCATTCTGTTCCCAAAGTTACAGTAAAACCAAAGATTACAAATTGAAACAACAAGTCAACCCTCAGATCATATATCTCCAAAGCATCCTTGGATAATTAAAGCTGTAGAAATCTTTCATGACAGCTTCAGTTTGAAAGATTCTTGTAATTTTTTCACTCAATCTTTGTGTATGACTGCTGTATTCCTGTTCTCTGTGCAGGGTTGTACACTGTTACAGATATTTTGCCTGAACTGTAACTACAATGTCCTCCAGATCATCATGATGTTTAACATTTCTTATGCTGTGAGGATGACCCCTAACTCGATCATGTCACCAAGGATACCTGAATGAAAAGATGAATCTGTACCTACACCTGAATTCTTGACTGCTCTGATGGAATGACACCCACTTACAAAAAGAAAAAAAAAATCCCATTGTTGAAATGATTCAGGTGAGAAGTTTGGTAGATTTGTGAAGATAATGTTCAGGTGTTGAAAACATCTTGAAGGATAAATTCCTGACGCAATTCACTGATCTTGAAGGAAATGTGGATTTTACCTACTAGATGTGTAGTGCAGTTCAACACCAACTTATTCATACTCATGCCAATTTTTTTTCACAGAGATTTTCTCCTATTTGTACTAAAAATGTAATGTCCATAATTATTCATACATCATCAAACTGCTGCCACTTTTTGAGAAAACACGGCTTCTCTGGCATTCTGTTCATGGTAATTTCCTATTCTAGAGCATTCTAACACACTAATATAGAGAACACATGATGCAGCAGTTCTCTAGTCAGCTACATGTCATGGCTAACACCAAACACTTTAGTGAGCTGCTATTAGAGTCCATCACTGAGACAGAGTTGCACATTGTGGCTGCTCACAAGACAATGAAAGACCATACAGCCAAATCAAAGTCGTTTCAAGTGCCAGTGGTCACAGTGCAAAGCATCACCAATAAATAAAAGGAATTCAACACTGTGAAATATCTTAGAGGAGGTGGTAGGAACTGCACTGGAAGAATGTTAGAGGCCAAAAGCAATTCTGGTAGCAACATTTCAATCAGACACTCCAACAGACACTAAACAAGACTGGTCTCCAGGAACAATGACAAAGGAGGACACCACTTCTCCAAGACAGATACACAAATCTCACCCGAACAAAGAAGAAAGCTTTTGGTTGTCAGTTCTGTGAGCAGATGAGATTAAAACAAGAGTTGTTTGGACTCTTGGACCTTTGTTTAGTAAAAGAAAGAAGAAGAATGCAACCCCAAGAACACTATCTCTGTGTCAAAAACATTGTGGTGGAAATGTGATGTTGTGGGGGTGTTTTTCAGCCGACAGACCAGGGAATCTTATCAAAAAACAAACAAACAAGCAAAAAAAAAAATGCATCATGAAAAAAACTGGAGACATTAAGAATCTGGACCTTCAGCATCAGGAATGTCAGCAGAAAAACTTGGTCTTGGGCAGCACTGAATCTTCCAACAAGATATAAATGACAACCTAAAACATGTAGCTAAAGAAATGCTTAACAGGAAACAGTGTCAACATTTTGAACGGACCAAACCAGACTCCAGAATCCCATCGAGAATTCGCTGAGGAACTGAAGAAGGAAGCCCCCTTAGCAGTTATAAGAACTGCTAGATTGATGTGGTAAAAATGAAGGGTTTGCCACTGATTAATAATATAGGGTATGAATAATTATCAGACATGGCAATGCAAAAGAAAAAAAAAAAAAAGGTAAGTAAATTAAATGTATCATTACCACCTGTTTAGGTCATTTCCAGAAGACATTCCAGAGGAAACCCATTGGTCAAATAAAAACTCACTATGAATAAAGTCAGTTGTGGGTATGATTAATTTGGGGCAGGAGTGTATATTTTACATGCAGTACTTGATCGTATTCTAGATCCGATTATTTGGAATAAGAATTGTAATTCTAATTATGTCCATCTACAAACTTGTGTGGTAGATGTGCTCCACTGTGGAGGGTTGCTGGCATGTGGGACCTGCTGTCGTTCTTTAACATTTAAACATGATCTAACACTCACATTTCATGTATTTATGTGCATTTTAATTAAAAAAAAAAAACATTAAAACAAAATACTATTAAAAACATCTACATCTATTACTTCTACTAATAATAATAACAACCCTCATAAATCCCCTACAAGTACAACAAATGGGGACTTTTTGCTGTTTCCCCAAGACTTCCTGCAGAGACACAGCGCCATCTAGTGGACGGAAATCTAACAAGTCTTGAGACAAACACTGCTACAACACGCAGCTACAAACACTGTAGTAATGTCCAGCTCAGTGTCTACAGCTGTCTGAGGCGGTTAGAGGGATGATAAAGAGATGGTCCCACAGTGAGAACATTACCTGTGCAGCTGTGCGGCTGCCATGGATCTGTGAACGGCTCGTCTGCACTCAAACAACCGTCTGCTCACTGACACCAGCGCCATGCTTCAGACAGCAGCACAGCTCTGTCCGCAGATCTGCTTCAGCGGGTTAGAGATTAGAAAAACTCAGTGTGGCTAAAGTCCACACAGTCCTGCACTGCAGCTGGTTTAAGAGGAAATCCGGGCGGCTGGGATCAGTTTGGCACTTTCCACATAAAATTTAAAGCGAAAGTACCAAAGCGAACACAAAGGCAGCGTTGAGGTGACTGTACTAGAACCTGTTCTGCTTCATGCTCCTGCAACGCTTTATTTTGAAGGAATTTCGCCACAAATCTCGCAACGATTCTGTTAGTTTGTTGTTAAGTAGTTTATTTTCAGAGGATTTATTTTTTTTTGGACCACACTCTTTAAAACAAACTAAATGCCAGTTTATTATGCATGTAAGAATTTTTATTTTCTCTTTCAACATTTTTTTTTTTTTTAGATGAAACCACTTTTCTTTACTTCATTAACCAAGAACTGAGCTTACACTTTTTAGGAGGGTGACTCAATCAGAAAATTATTATGTTTCCCCAAACGTGGACACATTTTATGTTGTATGTGTTTTATAGTCTGTGAATGAAGAAATGTACAGTCCTTGTGTTGTACAGTTTAACATCCTTTCAGATCAATTTGACTTCAGTGAACACAAACTCCTTGTCAGACATCTGAACACACTAAGAATCCACTGAATCCACTCTTTATGTGCAGTGGGAGGTTTTGTTGCATGTCAGTCTCTCCCCTTATCTCCTGCCATCTTTCTACCATAGTTTATCTAAGAAAGGATCTCAACAACCTCAATCAATCCCTGATTGAGCATTTGAAGCACATCTCATGGACTTCTAATCAGATATCTGTCAAGAAATTTAATTAGGAAACAAAAATGCCAAACTTACGATAAGTCTAGGTGTAAAGCTAAGGATTACCAAAATCTGAAGGATACATCATCTGGGAACTATAAAGTTTTGGACAAGAACATCAAGAAGATGTTGGTTTTTTTTTTTTTTAAATAAATAAATAAAGTAAAAACATTGGCTTATGATAGAAGAAAAGTCCAAGGATTGCATAATTCTAAGTCTATATTTTTAGAAAGTTTCATGCAGTTCAACCAGTCACTGTCAAGATATTTCCATAAATGTTAATCTCACGGTGGCATTGGAGAAAAAAAGGTCTAGGAATCAAAAAAGTAAGTAGGGTTCAACCTCTGGTGATCATAAATCTGTGATGGAGCCACACAGTATGGATAAGAGTGACTGAGCTGACAATAACTCATGGTGGGCTGGAACAGTGATTGATTGAGGGCAAAAAAATCTGTTTTTAGAGGACTCAGTCGTATCATTTGCTTATGAAGGCAAGACTGCCATATATGCCTATAGATGACAACTCATATACACTATAATGATATACATTATATATATATATATATCCCAATTGATAAAAATCTGGCATGGTTGTCAAAATACTGCTTTTTAATTGCTGAACAGTTTCTAAGATTTTTTTTTTTTTTTTTTTTTTTTTACATGATTAAGTCACTTATGTCCAAATTGTCTCTGTTCTGCTCAGAACACCCATTTAGTTAAAACAGCTCACTGTGTCCATCCATATTTTTGTTTCTGTCTTTTGCAGTGTCTGGGTCAGTCTTACATTGTTCAGCAATTTATTTCCAGAATTCTTCGAAGTAGGTTTCATCCCTACAGTCTTTAAGAATCTGGATGAACTTCAGCTAAATCCTCAGCTCAACCTAAATCATACACACTGCAGCTTGTAAAGACATGTTAACACATTTTTAAAAAAATGTACATACAAAAACAGATGCATTTTTATACAATCTAGACATTTTTCAAAGTACAATAAAAGTACAGTAGACAATAATACAAAATGTTTACAATGCCACACATCATCATTTAGCAAAACATTTTATGCTGGTCAGGACTAGTAAGTTGTATGTGACTGAATGGGGGCTGCTCGTGCTGCTAAAATGCATCCGTATGGAAACAGAGAGAAATGCGTCGACAAAAAAGTTCCACCTGAAAAAATAGTGACAGCTTACAGCAGCGGCCTTTTCTTTGCTCCACCCCTGTCATAAATGTCTGTACAAGATTTGACAATAATTCATCGAATAATTTTTGAGATATTGCAATTTGGAACAAAGCAGTGGGCCGACTCACACTGACATCGCCAACCACAGAGACGTGCTACATGTGGATACCGACATGTGGCCTAAAGCACTGAGACTGTTGTGGTTCTTGCTAGTGAGAGAATTTTTCAGTGTTTCATTACTGTAAATGCAATACTCTTCTGAACTGTTTGGTTTCAGAAAAAAGCTTCATTTTGGCTGCTAGAAAATTCTGTTCCAATATTTTCTGGCATTTGTTAGAAAAACCCAATTATCAACTGTCTATAGGACATTAAAATGTGGTACTGTTTTGTCGCTGGGCCCAAAAATGATCTACTTCGGGTAATAAACCAACTTCTATCATAAGTGACTACTGAGGTACTTCTTTAAACAAACACACAAAAAAAATGTAATCATGCACCACAGCTCAACCCACCTCCTCCCACACACACAGACACAGACCTACACTACGCTCTGATCAAGGTGTTTCTCAATGTATCATCTTTTCAAAAAGGCTCTCGTTTCATATGTGTGATGTTTCTGTTTATCAATGGGTTTGACTTGCTGCTCCTGATGAGCTGTTCAGGCCTGATTCTCTGAGGCAGGCAGCTTTTTGTAAACGCCTCCACTCTGCTCTGCCTGTCAGAGCGTCTGAGCTGTGCCACACACTGAACCACACACAGGAACACAAGACAAAGCCGGGCTAAAAATACTTCGATCGCCTCAAAGCAACATGATGAAGATAAAGCCAGATTTACTGGAAATGCAGTGACTGAAGTAGGTTCAAGTGCAAGTCCACTGAGAATCAATGCGTAATTAAAGGTAAACAGTTCCACAACAAAAACGATACTTGATTCATACTAATAATATAAGGAAAAGTTTGAGAAAAGCTAAGACAGGATTTGCTGAATTTACCTGATTTTTATCCTAGTAAACTGAATAACTTGGCGTTTTAAGCCCAAGTTTGTGACATTTACCACATGCACTGACCCAAGTTACACTGGCCTGAAGATGTAGCAGATTTTAGAGACTGAAATCAGTGGATAACCACTGAAAAGCCACCACATCCACTTATAATTTAGGCTAAATGTGGAAATTCATAGTTTTAAGACAACTTAAATTGAGATTTACTGCAGGTACTGTATTTTGAGCCTCATTCAGACGTTTTCCTTGTACGGTAGAACAGTTTAGCAGATAGTGATATCCAGAACGTGTTTTCCAATGCCCTTTGGCCTTCAACCATCTTTGTCTGCTTGGTATGTGCCTATCCATGGTCTCATGACCCACACTGGTCTAAATATAAACATCCAAGCAGGGTGTTGCACAGCTAAGGTCACATTACGTCATTCTGTACAACATATTCTTAATGAAGTAGCGCTCAGAGCATGAGCTGTGGACGTGTCAAAGTCTTTATCATATCCTGGGTCAAACAAAGGAGCCGTCAGGGATGGTTTGAAAACAAGGAGACGCAATAGTCGCTTGTGATTTGAGAGGCAAGATGCTGCTACAGCTCCAGAGGATACAGTTTGAGAAAATCTGAAAATGCTTCCTGAAGCCATTTTTTTTTAGATTCTGAGCTTAAATTTGTTTTAAACTTGATGTTATTTTCCTGAGAGCTCTCATAGACATGGGTAATGGAATAAACAAGGTACAGTATCATGTAGCATGGATTTTAATTTCTACATATCATTCAAACCCATTGTGCTTATTTGGTTTATGTTGAGAGCTTCTGCATTTTCTGTTTAACTCCATATCTAATTCTCTTTAGGTCCTGCCGGGTCTTTTTCTCGGAAATATCAAAGGTAAGATGTCTTGCCTCAAGTCATGTGAATAAAGAATTGATTTATTTTCAGGATAATGTAGCAGAGCGTGTTTCAGTTCCTCATATGGAGGGGCATGTGGTGAGATGCTACGCTGAGCTCAGTTTCTATAGAGTGGAGAGGTCACTGCATGAAGCTCAAGGACTGTAATATAGTACTTTCATATAAAAATATATGCTGCAGTGCTTTTTACAGTGTGTGTGTGTGTGTGTGGGCATGCGTGCACGTGTGTGTGGGGTGTAAACCTCTCTGTCAGCAGTTGGGGGAACATTATTTTTCAGGGCTGCTGAGAATATATGAGTGTCAGTGTGGGAGGGGATGTCCCACGGTGTGGGGGTGTCCCTGGTCTGAGCTGCATTCCACATGTTTCCATTAAGCAATTGCAACCATTACACTGCTCTTTTTTTTTTTTTTTTTGCAATCTTTAATGTTAACTGGGTCTTCGATGTTCTTTTCTCCTTGCAACTCGGCATGATAAAAAAGATCTCGACTTTTTTTTGTGCACATCAAAAGAACTGGAGTAAAGAAAGATTTAAAGTTTTATACTGTGTAGTAGATAAAAAGAATGTAGCGTTTGCCTTTTTAGGCTTTCCTTTTGATTCCATCTCATTCTACATAATACATAAATGCAAATGACTACGCAGGAAGGTGAAAATGCAACATTCCTGAGTGATTAAAAAAAAAAAAAAAACTTTCTTACACATTTTAATTTATTTGTTTTGAGAGTTTGTAGGAAGTAAATGTAGGGTAAACCACGTTAAAACATCCCCCTGGGACAAGAATGATTTGCTATTATTATCTAATATTTACAAGGCAGTTAAAGTGGGAGCAGTTTCATAACTTGAAAATAAAGTTAACCCTCTGTGAAAGTAACAAGTTTGTATTGATGAAAATGACTCATGAAGTAAGATCCCCCGGGGACTTCTATTCCCAGGAGTGGGGGAGGCATCTTTTCTGGGTCGTGGGGGAAGAGGCTTTTTAAAAAAATTTTTTTTTTTATATTCTACATTTTTATAGTAACTAAGCTGTAGTCTGGCATTATTAAATTCAAATTAAAGATTGCTCACTTAGGCATACTTCTTGTGTACATATCACATTGATATCCAAAATGTTTTTTTGTTTTTTTTTTAATAACAAAAGCAAATATTGCTGTTGTTGACAGCTAAGGGAAAAAGCAAAATGTAAGGTTATTCTTATAGCTTTGGCCTCTGTCTCACCAGACTTAGTCAAGCTGTTTTCACAGAAACCAGACATTTTTAATGACACTAAAAAGGCAGGTTCAAGTCTTAAATCTTTTTTTGACTAATTATGTCAGTGTCTGTATTGTGAATGTGAGAACAGTGCCAGTGCAGAAAGGTTGCTCTGTGCTACCAGCTTTACTGTGATATCAGCAGCCTGACACCCCATAAAAATATTTACTTCATGACACCTTTGGACACTTGTGGCATATTGTGACCTTGAAGTCACTGGCATAAGGTGACTCAAGATTCTATTTCCTCTGCAAGCATCTACACCACTGATTATTGTTTTCCTTTTTATGGCTTCATCTGTTATTTCTCTCTTACAGTATATACGAATTCTAATGATGTGAAATATGATTACTTGAACTGATTTGGCAGGCAGGAGGGTTCAGTGCAGGCTCATCTTGGTCTTGTATAGGGGACATTATCAGCATCATGCAAACTTGCAAAGCATGAGAAAAAATGCTGAAGGCACATCTGTCCAAGGTAGAAAACATTTGGCTTCCTTTTGAAGAACAAAATTTGATTAAAACAATTACTGTTTCTTGCTTTTGGGCCAAGCTGTTGGACTGTTTTAGAAACACTGGTTTTCCGGTTTTTCTTTCAGTTCAAAACAAGAGCAACACTTTAAAGCCATAAAGCCACATTTGCTTGGGAGACATTTAAGGAGGGGGGGTTGTTGTTGGGTAGAAAATGCTTTATATAGGTTGGAGCTTACATGGTGTGATTTGTGATTGGATGCAAGGTATATCTTTGATTTCCTGATTTGCTTTGTGATCCGCAGATGCACGAGATAAAGAGCTGCTGGCAACGCACAACATCACACACATCCTGTCAATCCACGACACTGCTGCACCCATCCTGGAGGTGAGGCATCATTATTTGTCTTCTACTTGCCTGCACGACCCCCCTGACCCCAACATTAATCCTGCCATAAAGTACACAAACTCCTCTGAACCCCCTTTAGTGTTACTGCTGATTGTACTCATTCTGAAAGTGTGAAATTTTGGCATCAGTCCAGGGCTACCACCTCTCTTCTCCAGTATCTATAGAAATGTCAATTTGTCTGTCAAAAAATATGAAGTGACAGAAAAGAAGAACACCCAAACCTCTGACAAGCTACAACTAGAATATGTTAATACTTAACATCTCCTGAAATGACACACTGAATATTGTAAGTTAAGAAAAACACATTTCCTGTTGATCAGCCAATGGATCAATCAGTAAATCAGCTCTATGATCCATACCTTCTGAGGTATCACCCCTTCAACAATGCATTCATTATAAGTTCAATTTATATTTTCAAAGGATGAATAACAAGAGAATATTCACTATTCTTTACATAAAGTCTCATCTTTATCAAAGGCTGCTGAAATAGACCACTTCAAATGGTGTGAAAGTCAGATGTTCTTATTTTCAATTTTCTGTCAATCATAAGACCTGGAATTAACCAGGTTTCATCAAATAAGCACCTTTCTGATTGACTGTAAGGCTGCAATATTGTGTGAGGTTCCAGTGAATATGAAAATCTGTTTTCAGTTGATGCAGCTGTGATGCAGATGCTAGCCAACACAGTGTATGTTATATAAGTCCATAAGGTCTTGAAAGTGGAACTGCATTTAAAAAAAAAAAAAAAGTTTTTTCAGTGCTGCTTTTAGATGTAGAGATTTTTGGGTGAGAAAGCGAGAAAGGTGTTTTTTTACTGAGTGTAGATGAGTGAGTGTGAAGACACTTCTGTGAGAACCTGATAGGTTGGATGTAGAAATTCTATTCAGTAAGAGATACAAGAGTGCACTTTGCTCTCAAATCGAATATGTCATTGCCAATATATGTTGTTATTATCTGCTTCTGTAGAAAGAATGTGGAATTTTGTTGTTTTTGTCCTGTCAATACAATTACCATGGATTTAGTAAAAACAGCAGAAGTTTATTCAGTTTTGCAGATGTTTGGTAAAGCTGTAACTATTTATGAAGTAATCTACCTGACATCTCATTTCTCATCTCATCCTAAAATTATTCTTGCTCCATCATCACTGGACACGTTTTTGAAAATCGTGGCTCCGTCTGACATCTTCAGCGTCCGCTTTCACAACTTTCATCTTTTCTTGTTGAAAGCGAGCATGAAAAGCGCTTTGAGATCTCTGTACACTTTCTCCATCCATGCTAGTATGTTTCATTGAACAGTGAGGAGAAACAGCAACTTCTATTACAGTATCACTACCCAAACCGGTCAACCACCAAAACTTTTAACAGGTTTTGGATTTGACATTATGTCGGGGCCGACACTCACTTTCTGAACTGCGTCACTAATCCCAAGCACAAATCTTGATTCTCGATAATTGTTCTTGCATTTATTTGTATGACACAGCTTTTTGAGTTCTGTGGCTAAACGATGACTCAGGTCTGTTTGCGACCAAATGGCCAGATGCGATGGTTTATTTGCATACCTAACAGTCAAACTGCTGACTGATTGATTTCTTGGAAGACAGCGTGATGGTTCCTGAGAGAGGAAGGTAGAATTTGCAACCACTAAGTCTCTAAGGTCGGATGTGCCTTTTGCTGTAACAGTAATTAACATACTGCAAAATAAAACCGCTTGGCCCCTTTTATACAACAAAGTGTGAAGCTCAAAACACCTTTTTGCAATTAAAGAAAACATCTGCATGTATCCACAATTTGCATGCACGCTGTTTTGGAATGTTTTTGTGATTTATGGGTGTCAGGGTTCATGATAAGGTTTAAGACTGATGGTATGAAGATACAAGAGGACTTTGCAGTATCTGTCTGCATAACCTGACTCTGTCTTAGTCAAAAATTAGGATTTCACTGGGTTAAATGTTATATAGTCCTTCAATGTGAGCATGTTTATTAGCGTCTATAAATGTGTTTTTCTGGGGTCTGCGTGCGTATCATCTGACCCGTCTGGAGCTCTTCCGGACCTTAGACTGTCCCAGAGGGCTCAGGGGTTTTTGCAGTGGTGCAGTCATACCAGGACAGGGTGGTTTCTGTCCACTGTATGTACCATCAGCTGCCAGGTGCACAGTACAGTACTCAACACACAAACACACACACACATACACACAGGCAAACACCGTTATGTCACGACCTACCACACCGGCAGGGTCAGAGGGGCGAGGTTTCAGGGGCTGTCCCACACAAAACAGAAAACAGGAAGTGTGTTCAAACAAATGACCCTCGCTAAAATGTTGTGTTCCTCATGTTGTTAGTTGTTGTAAAATTTAAAAAATAACTCAATGTAGTGTTTTACAAATCTAAACTGCTGCCTCCCTCCCCTACAGGACATGACGTACCTTTGTATTTCTGCTGCTGACCATTCTAAGCAAAACCTGTGAGTACTCATAAGGTCCAGGTTCAAATTTTGTACATATATATTGTTTAAAATTACATTTTTGGTAACTTATGAACGCTGACTTTTTTGTTTCATATAAAAGTCATTATTTAGATTTATTTTATTTTTTTTTACATTTAAAGTAATACTAAGTGTTCCAATTCAGGACATTAATCTGCCATCATCTTTACAGACTGACTAATACAAACCAAATAAAATCATACAATGTAAAATGTTTTCAGATGTAAAAAGAATGGTGTTTGTTCAATAATGTTTTAGATTTTGATAAAGAATGTTTAATGTGATCATTTCACCAGGATTCAGTACTTCAGAGACAGCATCATGTTTATCCACGAGTCCCGACTGAAAGGAGAGGGCTGCCTGGTTCACTGGTGAGTGGAATCCTATTCTAAACTGATTCTTATTCTTTGATTCCCCATATAGGAATTAAAAACTTATCTTAAAATGACATACTGAGACAAAACTAGGCAAGATTTTTGTTATTCTATCATTTTCATTAAAATAAAATATTTCTTTTCATTTCTACTTTTGAAATTGGTGACAGTGGGTCATAATATAGAGTAAATAATATTAAGTATATTTTACGAAACTAGTGTCATTTGCATATGAGGTTGTTGAAAGGAAGAAACGTGACTATTCACATTCAATTTATTTTTGTTAAAAAGGACAAGAGTTTGCCTTAAACTGATTACTGACTGGAGGTCTTCTTATTCTAATAGCCTAATTCTCATTTTCAACCACATCAGTCACCAAAAACAAGCTGTCTGCCAAGAATTTTGGTTAAAGCTTTCATTGTAAACTTCTTCACCTTTGATCTCTTCTCATATCAAACATGTAGCACCAGGCATTTAACCACAGCTTTAGGAAAAAAGGGGTTTCACTTCTTTATACACTAAAGCAGAGAATGTGAATATGAGAGGATTAGTGGCTGTGAAGGTGTGTGTTCTCAGCGTGGCAGGAGTGTCCCGCAGCGTCACTCTGGTGGTGGCCTACATCATGACGGTGACGAGCCGCGGCTGGGTGGAGTCTCTGGCGGCGGTGAGGGCAGCCAGGCCGTGTGCAGGACCCAACCTGGGCTTCCTGAGGCAGCTTGAAGAGTTTGAAAACACAGAACTAACTGAAGTAAGCTAATATTTTATTATATGAAACTCCATTTTTGATCTTTTTTTTTATGATACCCATTTAACATATTTGCATTCAGTAACTGTCTCTATGTGCATCCACTTTTACAGGGGTAGCATTCATGTGCTGGATTAGGTAAAAGGTGGTGCATACGGAAGAAAACATTTAATTAAAGGCATTCCATTCTGTTCTATTCTATTATGAGGCCTACAGCTTGTTTCACTGCAATTTCAGTTCAATATCAAGTCTAGAGGAGCTGCAGGCCTGAATCATATAATTGTATGATCAATTCCATCCGTGCATGGGGATTCAGCAGGAAGTCAGATGACTCAGACAGAAGTCTTGAAGAAGCCCGCTCTCAACTAACTTGGCTGGAGAATGACTCCAGTGAACATTCTCTACAGGCACAAAGCACAGCACATGTGCACCGTGAGCAGCCTTGATTTTATATATATATAGTGCTTAATAAATGTATTAGATCGCCTGTGCACTGTACATATCTATATCTATATCTACATCTATATCTATATCTATATCTATATCTATATCTACATCTATATCTATATCTATATCTATATATAGACCATTTTGAACAGGAATGAAGAATTTCAAACTGAATTCATCTTTTTATACCCAAATTTGAGCAGCTCACTGGGCTTCTCTGAGAAGGCAGAAATTAATCGAGCATAACATTCAACCAATAAATCAAAATGTTCTCTTTAGGAACGCCAGTAAATGACTATAATTTGACATCTTAGTCTAGAAATAATAATGTGCTTTTTTTTCTTTTCTTTTTTTTTGTAAAACAGTGAATTTTAAAATTCATGGAAAACAATAATAATTATATTTTTTAGCATTAAAAATATCATTTCGGTTAAAGAGCTTCTGCATACTGGTGTATTAACCATTAGAGAAACATAATAAATGATTCTGGTAATTATCAATGCTGTTAATTTAGGGCAGCTGTGGCATAAGCCTGACATTGGGTGGTGGTCTAATAAATGTGTTAAGCACTGTATATATGGATGAATGGGGCACCATCTTGCAGCAGGTTCACAGATTCTTTAATTTGTGGATTGAACAGATCAAATTCTGATAATACAAAGAGTCCTGCCTCTAGTGTGGCCTATGCCTCATGGCATTGTTCCTGGGGCTTGAGCTGTTTTTCCTGTTCTGTATTTCTGACAAGTCAAGGTAGGCTTTCTCCTTCAAATGGTAACTTTAAACAGAATTCTGGCACCTTTGTAATTAAATGCTGGAGTATGCTTCAAAAAAACTATAGACAGGTGACGTATTCAAGGAAAAACCAACACAAAGTGTTTTAGTTAGGTACTGCACCATAACAGCTTCAGTCCTCCTTGACATTGATTCTCCAAGTCCCTGGAACTCCACTGCTGGGATGAACATTCTTATAAAAGATATTAATTGATGATGATAGACAGCACTGTGGATTATGTCTGTCCTAAATCTTCCATAGGTGTTCAGTTGGTTTGAGATCTGGTGACTGTGAAGGTCAAAGAATATGATGCTCATCATGTATTAAATCATTTAGTGAGCCCTTGTTCCTTATGGATGTGTGCATCCTGGAAGAGACCCCTCCCATCAGAATAGAGATGTTTCATCATAGGATAAAGGTGATCACTCAGAGCACTTTGTATTGATTTGCAGTGATCCTTCCCTCTAAGGAGACAAGTGGATCCCAACCATGGCAGCAAAAAGCCCTTTGCAGCATAAGGGAGTCACCAGATTCCTTCACTGTTGGGTCCAGGGTTTAGGATTTTCCTTTCATTTGTGTCCTCTGTGTTGTTTGTACTGCATGTCATCCAGATAGTAGGAGATGGGACAGGATGCAACAACCCTTCACATGGGCATAATGCCACTACTTTTGAATTGCATTTGTATTAATGGGTCTGCACTCGCAAATTAAAAGCAACAAAGGTTACTTTGCAGGTTTGTGTCAGAGAGGGGATGGGATGGGAGGACTTAGATTGTGATCTGACAAGCACTTTGTTCAAACTATACTGACCCTTTAAAATGCATCTCTTCCTACCATCAGTTAGTGCAGATGTTGCCCATTCAACTGGGCTATAATTTAACTCTAACTTTAGCTCGGATGAAGCTTTCTCTGCCTGACATTATGTATTTTTTATTTTTTTTACACTTATACACTTTAATGCTCAATGTGCTCCTCCCCCAGTATCGAGCCTGGTGGACGGAGCGGTATGGGAAGAACTCATTCAATGATGATGAGGAAATTGGAACTCTTTTAGCTCGAAAATCCAATGGCAGCAGCAGCAGCAGCAGTAGCAGCAGCGACAGCGTCATGTCATCCAGCATCACTTCTGCATTGACCACAAGTGGAACCTGAAGAAAACGTCTTTTGTCAGTCTGATCTTAACTCAACGTGAGCAGCTAAGGACTGTAGGCATCTGCTTGGACCATTAAATGCACAAAGGCCAATTTAGCTATATAAAAAATGTCATTTCATTACTGACCCTGGACAGAAAAACTGCTTCAGGAACACCTGTCTCATAAAAAAAATTCTGTATCGATATGATAGGTTGACGCTCATGTTTGAAGAACAGACTAAGCAGCCATGTGATGGGGGGATTTTGTGTCAGTGTTGTCAGTTCCCTTCGTCATGTCATGTCCTTGCCTCTAACTGTCAAAACAACATGCAAGGGCAGTCAAGCACAACACCAGGGAAATATGTACATACAGTCCACAGTGTGAACACACATTTAGTAGTGTTCACTCCCTGTCAGTTATGTTATGCTGTGTCTTGTACTTGAAATATGAATATTACTTTCTATAGACTGTGTGGAGGCTGAGGAATGTTCTTTTTCCTAGTAAAATAATATGAGAAGACATGTTTTTTTCTTACTTATTGCATTTCTAAATTCAAGTGTTGCTTTGATTTTGTTTGTATTATTTAAAAAGTGTGCACAGTCTCTTGGAATGTAATTCTAACACTGGTTGTCATGTTAATAGTCTCTGCCTACATGATTAAAATAGTCATTTTCACATGTGAATTTGCTGTATTCTTTTTAATTGTGGGCATTTCAGGCCTTTACAAATCTGTTTAACAAAATAAGGAAATACAAGCTTGCTGAACTGGTTACAACTGGTCAGTGTTTGAAGAATTCAGAACCTTAACGTACAAAAACCACAATTTAAATTCATTCCATGACAAGTAAAACGTTACATTCAAAATCCTGCTTAAATAACAGTAGATAAGTAGAAGTGCACATTCTGTAGAATAATTGCACCTGTGATCAGTATGTTATGATGTTATTATAACACTATTACAATGCAGATGAAGCATCAGTGCTGACAGAGATTTTACTGCTGTCGCTGAGGTGGAGCAAATTGTAATATACAGGTTTTCAAACTAGGGCTCAGGCTCCCTTCAAAGGGTCACAAGATAAGTTTGAGGGGTTGTAAGATGATTAATGGGTAAGTTCCATTACTCAGATCATTGCCTTTTGAGAAATATAACATATTTTACCTCTGTGTTCCTCTACAGTTTCTGAAACGACCCGTCGGACAGGTTTAAAAGGGAAAATCACTTGTTAGTAGGACTCCTAACCAAGGGGTCATGAAGACACTTCAAAATAGTACTTTAATAGTAAACATTTTTTATTAGATTTTTTTTGTTAGGTTTTTATGTAAAATCTTAATCTGTAATATAGCTGCTGTCAGAAAAATGTAGCTCCGTTTAAAAGTACGACTTATGAAATAGTAACAGTATATAGCAGTGTTAAGTGTAAATACTCAAGTAACCTGCAAGTTGCACCTCAAGCACTGTATTTGTATGGATATATCAAACTACTGTACAAACTACAAACTACAAACTACTAAAGGATGACACAGGCTGCAATCCAAAAGCAGTGGTTTAAATGTGACTACATTTATTTACTCTGAGTTGTGGATTTCAGTATTGTCTATTTTATGCATCTCTACGTTTCAGAGGTTAATATGGTGGTTTTTTTTCCACTACATGTTTCTGACAGAATCTAGTCACAGATAAGACTGTACAAACACACCAAGTGATTTATGATGCAAAGTTAGACATTCAGTTTTGATCCATAATATAATATAAACACTGACAAGAAGCATTCTAAGTGAGTTACTTTTAATTATTTAGGTGTTTTGTTGCCACTAGTTATTAAGCACAGTTTGAACCAGGTCTATTTTTGCTACTTCCCAAAGCAAATAATTGTTTAGTACATTTATATTACAGTAATTCTGCACTTTTATAGGAGCAATAATTTGAATGTCGGACTTTTGTATTGTAACTGAGTATTCACTGGTGTCACTACTTTTATCCAAGTCAAATATCTTCCATCACTGCTAAACATTTGGGAACTTGATTCAGTCAGAACGTGAGCTTTAAAGGCTGCTGAGTTGTGTTTTGCGTGGATCTTTTAGAAATTAAATATTTCACAGACTCCTAACTCTGCGTGTTTTGTGCTTTAGTGACTCCAACGTGAACTTCTTCGAGCAGGCCTTATGAAGATGTGGCGCACAGTTTATAATAATCTCATAAGGGAGGCTCTTACTGTCTGCTGCTTCACGATAATCTTCCAGTATGGGAACAAACTCGTGTTGTTGTTTTTGTCTATCATTTCTACAGCAAGACCACTCCACTGTACAGCTGCTTTGCGTAAAGCTTTATCATTTCAAAGAAATGTTTTCGTCTCCGTGCCATGATTTTCCACGTGTGCGGGTGTGTGACAGTGGCGGCTGACGGCGGCAGGGTTTCCCCCGGTGTCTTACTGGAGATGTGGCGCTGTTCGAGCGCTGATAAGCTTCGCAGGAGAGACGCAGCAGAAGCAGCAGCAGCAGCAGGTGCGTCCTTCTTCTCAGCATCCCGGCTCTGTCTCCGCCCTCCCTCAGCTCGCTATAGGCTGCGAGGATTTAAGCGGGCCCGCCGGAATGATGAGGGCTTTCTGACGCTGACTGATTTCAAAACTTGACGGGTTTCGAGTGCCACAGGTAAGACAGCCTCGATGCGCTCATCCAGGGCGCGTTAGAGCCACGCTAGTCCGCGTGGGAGATCAGTGGGCTCACTTTCAGAAAGTTTTACTTCACTTGTACAGAGTCACTATTCTCTGCTAAACCTACACTACTTTCACAACACACAGGCTACACATCAGATATCAGATTAGAGGAGCTGACAGTGGGTCGTTCTCAGGTCAGAAATGAACCCAGAGCTGGACTACGGAGGCTCCGGCAGCAGCGGCAACGGAAAGCTGCGCCAGTGGCTGATCGAGCAGGTGGACTGCGGTAAATATCCAGGGCTGGTGTGGGAGAACGACGAGAAGACCATCTTCAGGATACCGTGGAAACACGCAGGGAAGCAGGACTACAACCGGGACGAGGATGCCGCGCTTTTTAAGGTAGGAGAGCCGCGTCCTGGTCCTCCACACAGACATCACATGTGACTGTCAGACAGTGGTGCGCAAAGTGATCAGAACTGTCCGTGAGTGTTCACGATTAACGCCTCAGTCCGCCACACTGTTCATATTTAACGTCTTTAATGCAGCTTGTGTGAAACACGTTGTTTTGCTGTCCAAAAGGAGATTTACAGTTTAAGGTGTGACCAGCTAACGACTGTTTTCATTTAACCTGCAGAATTAAGGCTATAAAATGTCAGAAAACTGTTGAAAATTTCAAAATAGTCAAGATTACTCTTTCTAAAATCATTGGTTTGCCCAAACGCCCTAAAACGTAATTCAAGGAATTTATTTTCATCACTTAATTCAATGCATGGGCTGCGATATATATATATATATATATAGAGAGAGAGAGAGAATTTACTGGTTTAGATAATTCCACACATGATTTTGGTGATTTGTGTTGACATAATAATGTTGCATCAACTTATTATTGTGTGTCATTTAAACTCTAATTTCTAGGTTAGTTGATTTAAAACTAAATTCAAGTTGAGGTAACTTAATGCCATGTGTTCAGGACTTCTAGTCCCTCCTCGATGTTACCATGCCTGCACAGCTTCAGTTAGTTGAGACTGGTTCCCCAAACTTAATGTAGTTTGTGGTTGAACATAATTTTACTAGAGGTAGTCATAAGAATACATTTTGATGCAAGCTTCTTTTTTGTTGAGCTCAAATGTATTTTTTTTAGTGCAGTACAGAACAGTTAATAGAAGAAAAATAGGAATTGAAACCATTTCAAGTGCTGGATTTGGCAAATATTTGCCCTGGTTGTGTAAAAAAACCAAAAAAAACCCCCAGACTGATCTTTAGTTAGTTTAATCAATCAGTGATCAGTGCAGCTCTCCATGCCTTTACAGAGGATGTCTTAGCCTTTAAACCTACTTCTGCTCGCCGTCTAGTAAGACATGGAACAGAGCAGGTTTCTGATCCTCTCAGGCTCAACTGTCGCAAAGTTTCTAAAGTTGTCCCGGCTCTCTGTCTGCAGGCCTGGGCGCTGTTTAAAGGCAAGTTTCGGGAGGGGATCGACAAGCCGGACCCACCGACCTGGAAGACGCGCCTCCGCTGCGCCCTCAACAAGAGCAACGACTTTGAGGAGCTGGTGGAGAGGAGCCAGCTGGACATCTCTGACCCGTACAAGGTCTACCGCATCATCCCCGAGGGCGCAAAGAAAAGTCAGTCCCACTGAAAACTCATCCTAACCCATTTGAGCTGTGTAGCTTGCTGTATGATTATTAGTCCCTGATGTGGTTACCAGTTTCTAAATGAATTCCCTGTGTACAGCTGTGTGTGAATAATAAAGGTGAGTTTCTCCTCAGTGCAGCTGTGTCAAACCACCACTTAATGTCAAGCCGCATGATGTCAACCCTTGTGGACTTTCCTGTGTCTTTTCAGTCAGTTTGTTCACACTTACCAAACTTGTCTATGTTGCCTGCAGGACCCAGACAGGAGGACAGTCCTCTGAGTCCAGTGGGCTACCAGATGCATCCCTCCTACCCCACCGTGACTCAGGTGATTTTCATACGCATGGAAATGAGTGGGGCGGGACTTAAGACAGAGAGAGAGAGAGACAGAGAAGTGTGTATGCATGAATGACCTTACAAACATGAGACATTAAGTGAAGGCTGCAGCTTGTTGATATCTATCCAAAAGCCTAACCAACTATGCTGACTTCAGGGGTTGATGGAAACTTTGGAGTTTTGATGACATCGGTCTCCTATTTACAGTGATGTGCAAGTTTTAAAGAAAACCATGTCAGAAATTGATATTAAAAAGACAGACATCTAATTCACTGACAACATTTGGCATTTGAAATAACACATAAATGTGGTGCTGGTGGTGTGCCAGGCGCGTGATCGGGAATTTACAGCATTCCTAAGAATATTCGTATAATTAATATACACTTTAACCAAGATCAAAGTTGGTCATTTGGTGTACTGACAGGGTCTTCTACTTTAGATGCATATATCTAAATCAAAAAAGCTACATTTGATACATTTTAAAATGCAAAACTTTCATTTTCTTCTTCATTGGAGGTTGTTGCACAATATGAAACAATGAAAAGTCTTGCTTTCATGACAGCGTCTGCTTTGAAGTACTAATAAGACATCATGTTTAACTATGCTGAACAAGTAGTCTGCGTCTCTGCCTACAGATGCCTCAGTACATGCCCAGTCCAGATTGCAGCTGGAGAGATTACTGTCAGGAACAGGCCTCTCTGCCTGAGCTGCCTTTCTCTCAGTGTCCCTGTCCCCCCCGCGGCCTGCCCTGGCAGGGCCCCGCCATGGAAAATGGTATGCCACGCACTGCTATATATAAGTAATAGCATTGTCAGTAGTTTTAGTATTGCACTAATAACTTTCTTTCTTGCACTGAGCTCTTTTCTGTCTCTCTGTGCGTACAGGATACCAGCTCAGAGCCTCAATCTACTCGTATGGTCCTGCTGACAGCCAGCCTTCGCCTTTCTCACTGGACGCCGGCATCAGATCTGCAGAGGCACTCTCAGGTATGCAGAAACTTTCATTTCACATTACACTATGATATCAAAGGAGAGGTCTATGGATTGTCACCTGAGCATTAGATCCTTTTTAATGTAATTTCAGCTGTTGTTAAAACAGAATCTTTTACAAAAATCCCCAAATTAAGACTAGGAATACCTATTTACATAAACAGCTATAGATATCTCTGTTTGGACATGTACGTCCATATGGTATACATGTGATCGTAATACCTAGTTACAGATTAAAACATTGATCCAGATTAACCTTTAAGCAATGTAGCCTCATTTTAGCTAAAATTAATTTGGCATTTTAAGTCTAATTTAAAGTAATCTGATTTATCATGTGAGGGAGCTACAAACAATGCAAGGAGAAGCAATCACAGATATTTTAGATTCTTACATATACTATTAGTATCTCTCCATCAGCTGGTGTTTGGCATACTCTTCGCTACCTGCCAGACCAGACATCAAACAGACAAAGATTGACAAAGATTTCTGGTACTAACAGACAGACATTGTCTACAGCCAATCTAGTTTCCCTGTTTATCTTGTCTCGCATAGCCAGAACATTCTCTAGAGCTGACACAGCACTGTGTAGAATGGTCTGACTGCACCTCAGTATCATTCTGCTGTAGGAGAAAAAAAAAGCTCTTGCATGTTTTTATTCTTTAAACCCTAACAACAGGATACTGCGATGGCGTTCCTTCAAAAAAAAGACATGCAAGTTGTGTTGGTTCAACATTTGCATGCAGAGAGACAAGCCAACAAACCAGCTAATTCACAGAAAAAACTAGCAGAAATGCCATGCTGCATGATTCAAATCCTTGGAAAAACTCAAACATTTCTGTGTGGAAGGTTGTTGGCTGGAGGCTGTTGTTTCCATAGTGAAGGGGATTTTGAAAATGTTAACATGTAGATTATGGAAGGAGATGACAGCCAAAGGCAGGCTTATACCCGTAGTCTACATCTAGTGAGTCAGACTACAGTCTACCTGACTGATGTTTGGCCAGAAAATGACAGGGTGCCTTGGCATGTAGGCCAATACAATAAATTGTCAAACAAAGAAAGTTTCCCCATGTCCAGGTTCAATTTCCAATTTACTGTGTCTGTGACATTATAATTTACAAAGAGTTCAAAAAATAAAAGAAGCTTTTGTGGCCGTTAAACCGGATCTAGAAGTGAAAGCAGTACAGCAGTACAACAGCACAACTGCCCATGTCTAAATTTGGAGTGCAGTTAATACTGAAATCACTGTGATATGACTTTGGAATTCAATCTTATCAGAAGGGTTAAAGAAAATGCTTCAAACACTGAAAAACATTAACCAGCAAAAGTTAATAAATGATTAATTCTTCAGACTTTGTCATTTTAATTTTGTCATTCTAAACAATTGCTGAATTGTTTAAAGATTTATTTTAATTGCATGTCCAGTGAGTTACCCTTTCGATTCAAACTAGTCTGCAAAAATCTCGATCTGTAATGACAGCTGTGACAGCACAGATAAATTCATCAAGATAACAGACTACTCTGTTGAAGTCCACAGAGAAACAGTCGAAAAGATTAAGCATCCGAAAGTGTGAAAAACAGCATGTCATTAGACTGTACATGTGTCTCCTCCATCCAGACTTCCGTCTGCATGTGTCTGTGTATTTGCGGGACACTCTGGTGAGGGAAGTGACCACATCCAGTCCAGAGGGCTGCCACATCACTCCATGCTCCCCAGAGAAGCACTTCCTGACGCCTGGAGGTCCTGAGGTGGTGCCACTGCCCGTGGACAGCCTTCCAGCCCATAGGAGGGCAGATGAGTGTCCACCAAGCCCGCCAACCACCCTGGAGAGGGGGGTGCTACTGTGGATGGGCGCTGATGGACTCTACGCACGGAGGCTGTGTCAGAGCAGAGTGTACTGGCAGGGAGGCCTGTCGCCATACGGAGACAAACCCAACAAGCTGGAGAGAGAGGTCACCTGCAAACTGCTCCACACACAGGATTACCTCACAGGTGAGACAGCAGAAACAGGGCTGCAACATGTGACTGAAGTCCTAATATTCTTAAATTTTGTCTAGAAAATACAAAAAAAAAAACAAAACTTTAAAAACCCAAAGATGTATAGTTTACAATACTAAATAGCAAGTCCTCATATTTAAGGAACTTGGACCAGTATGTTTAGCATTTTGGTCAGATACTCGATAAAAACTTTTCACATATATTTGTTTGGTAGCCCTGTGATAGGCTGGCAACTTGTCCAGGGGGTGCCCTGCCTTCACCTTAAGTCAGCTGGGATAGGCTCCTGCAGGTTACCCTACAGAGGATAATTAGTTAGTTTTCCTCAAAATGTTGTGTAGCTCTTTCCAGGATACATAGTTCACCAAATGTACTCTACTGTATTGTCCATTTCAACATGGTGTACTGGACTGTGTTTTCATTTCACTTGCACTGAAACTCACACTGCTTTTCACCTTACTGTGTGTGTTCCTAAAATCAGAAATAGATTAGTTTACTGTCAATCAAGTACGGCTGGCTAAATATTTATTTATTTTTTTACAATACAGCGCATGGAGTAACAAAACCATCTTTTGCCACCAAACACTTTTAGCACTGAACGAAAGAAGTCAAACCTCTTGACTGTCTAACATGGTTTTAACACAAGAAATGGAAGCTAACCTCAATGATAGTCTAAAATTTAGATTTATATCAGGAACAAATCTACAAATCTGTCCTGATATGTGGTGCAAGCTTTCAGTCCTTGACAGTTTTTGACAGACACATTTCGATCAGTATTAAAATAAGCTTATTTCCTGTAAAGCACTTTGTGAAATCTGAGAACTTTCAACAATTTACTTAAAACAATACCAGATTACCATTGGGGTAGCTAAAAACTTCTTAAATTAGTGTTTCATGATAAGCTGACAGTCACCTGACTTCTGCACAGCCACATCATACCCACCCACATGCTAAGGCAGCTCCAGCTGTGACAAACTGACAGATAAATGTATTTGCATAAATGATGTGATCAGGACTTTCCATTCGATTCACCCCAAATGTCATGCCACTTCAAGAGACATTCTTCAGAAACTATTTCCCATTTTGAGATGTATTTTAGATACCAGGGTTAGTAATGATGTGCTGTTGTCTGTTTCCTGGCAATCAGAGATCCAGAGTTACGGGCTCCATGGTCGGCCGCTGTCTCGTTTCCAGGTCCTGCTGAGTTTTGAAGAGTGTCTGGACCCGCAGAGACAAAGACGGATCCTCACTGTCCAGGTGACTGCTGCCCCAGTGTTTAACTGCATTGGCCCTAACTCTCGTCTCTTCACAATACTTCTATTTATGTAAACATTAATTTGGTTTTTAAGTCGAACGAAACCTAAATATTTACTGGGAAGGTCTGTGGTCAAATGAATACTTCTGTTCTTAAAATCAGAAGTAACATTTGAAATGTTGAAAGTTAAGTGTTGAAACTTTTTTTTTTTTTTTAAGTTATTTTTTTGGCCTTTGTGCCTTTATTGGATAGTGTTAGTGAGAGAGACATAGGAAAGTAGGGGAGAAGAATGGGGGAAAGGGTCATGAGCGGGATTTGAAAGCATGACCTCCGCATCAATACTGTAGCCCTGCACATGGGACGCCAGCTCAACCAGGTGAGCTATAGTGGCGCCCAAGTGTTGAAACTTTTAAGTAAAGTTTGAAAAGTGAAAAATAGGATTTGAAAGTTAAAACCTAAGATTTGAAAGGTAAAACCTAAGATTTGAAAGTCTGCATCAGTCATGTCTGCAGTGTTTCAGGACCCAATTGAGTTTATAAATAGGTCTCGCTGAGATTCAGCAGCATCCTGGTTCCAGAGCTCAGAGTTGCTAAACATCTTTCATGTCTATAGCAAAAAGTGAAATAAACAAGCTAACTCAAGTTCCAAATCAGCTCTTTCAGCTTCAGAAGATGGGATTTTTGACACAGTTTCAACTTGGGGTTGAACCAAACCATGCACCATTTATTACTATTGCTGCATTGGTGCATGTGATTTGTTTGACCTTTAGTAGCAAGTAGCTCTTCCACTTTTTTTTTTTTTAAAGGCAATGAAAAAAACCCCTGCACAATTAGAAAATGGCAAAATGTCCTCTTTTTTCGTTTTGAAGTAGGCATACAAGAGAACTGTGCATTACAGCCAACATAGAGGAATGGGGCTGACATAGTGACAGCTGTGGTCATCTCCTCAGTCTCCTCCTGCTCCCTATTGCCATCTATACTGTGCTTTAAAAAAGCACAACTCACAACATACTTCTCGTTTACATATTGCTTTTCTGTTTTCAGACGTTGAAACAGGTATGAAATATTGATTCAATAAACTCTACATGTAGTCGTTCTCAAACTGCAATGTTTCATTTCTGATTAAATCTTTTTAAAGACATAAAGTCATCTGATAACATCAGCATAAATTCAGATTAATGACAACAGCGTTCTATACTGACATTTAAAACCAACGACAACAGAGAGGTGATTAAAGGTTGCTTTCTTAACCTCGCCTCGCACACACAAACTCATTGTGTGGTTTATCTCATCGTTTTGAAGAAGCTCAAAGCTCGAACAAAAAAGAAGTTTTAGATTGAACACAGTGTGTACTCAGAGTCACTTATTTTTTCTGGGTGAGAAAAATGCCGCTGTATTGCATTTTTAGTGTGTACAATGTGTTTAAATGGAGTTAAAAAAAAAGACACATTATGAAATTAAAGGTTCGTGATTGACCTTGGAAATAAGTAGTTTGACAAAAAAAAAAGCTTTCAGCCACAATTTGTAGTCTTTTTGCAACACATGGAGTTTGCTAAATTGTCAGATTGGAACTTTGATCACGTCAGTGCAACCTGTCATCACGTGACTGAAGACTGCTTTTGGTAAAATCTGTCTTTAAAGTTTCCTAATATTATGAGGGCAAAAAAGTTTCCACAAACTTGTGTCAACGTGTACCCTTTCAAGTCCTATTTTTCACTTTTTAAAGCATAGTTTAAACTACTAAAGGCCATATTTAAGGCTTTTGCTGACTCTGTGGCCCTCCTGTGTTGCAGGTGGAGCCTCTGTTTGCCAGGCAGCTCCTGTACTACGCCCAGCAGACTGGAGGTCACTACTACCGCAGCTACGAGCACCCGGGAGTCACAGAGCACATAAACGCCTCTGAGGACTACCAGAGGGCCATCACACACCACCACAGCAGCAGCCTGCAGGAGTGACCTGTGTGTTCAAGTGACTGTTGAAAACTTCAAAATGCAGCAATGGCATATTACCCAACAGGCAAGGAAACCATGAGTCAAGAGGACAAACTTTGACAATATCATACATAAAATGATGGACATTTAGTTAGCCACTGTTTGCCCTGTATGGTTTTCTGTGTATTTGTCTCTGTATGTATGTATGGCTGAAAGCAGAGTTGCAAGGCACAATGAATATTTTCTATACTTACTATGCAGATGTAACTGACAGCTGAGGTGATTGTACTGTAGAAAACTGTGACGTGAATTTTAGTGCCTTAATTAAATAGTCCCACATTTTTGGGAAATGCACTTACTTACTTTTTCGCTGAGAGTTAGAGAAGAGGATCGATACCACTCTCATGCCAATCCATTACATGTAAGGCTGCAACCAGGAGCTGGTTAGCTTACCTTAGCTTAGCATATAAATTGAATCCCCTTGCAAATCAGCAAATTTCCATTTTTAAATGTGCTTAATCTGTTCAAAAGACGTATAAGATATGAATATTTTAAATATTGAGACACTTGGAAGCAAATTTGTGATCTTTGGGTGGAGCCAGGCTAGCTGTTTACGGTCTTTGTGCTAAGCTAAGCTAACAAGCTGCTGGCTCCAGCTTTATATTTACTGCACAAACATGCACGTGGCATCATTCCTCTCATCTATCTGCAAGAAAGTGAATAAGTATATTTCTTAAAATGTTCAACCTCTCCTTCAAGTCGATTTTTAAAGATGTTTTTTCCTTGTACATAATTTTCTTTTGCTAGGAGACACTATGACCACCATTTAGTAAATTAAGAATGAAATCGTGTGCCTGGCTGTGTTTGTATGAGAAACTCAGGAAGATGATTTTCAGATAAGCTTTTTCCAACTCTATTTTGTATTAAACAGATGACTTACATTGTATATTTTCCATTTAAATGTCATACATGGCATCTGAGAAAGAGCTGAAGTGAATGTTTTGAGCTTTTTTGTACTGAAAGATAATTTCTGTTATTAAAGACAGCCCAATAAACTGTAAGCAGTGACAGGCTCTGTTCATAACTGTCTGAGCTTTGTGGGTAACGTCAGTATGCGTGTGTCAGTGCAGGATGTGAGGTTCAGATGCAGGATGAGGCTGGTTAATCAAACGCTTCGTTATCACAGACAATGTGACGACATCAGGAGGGCGGAGAGAGAGGAAGAGGTCGGCCACGCTTTCCGAGCTGAGCTCAGAGAAAGTCTTCCTGGCTTCTACTCACACTGTGGGGCTGTTTCCACTTTCATGGAAAACAATCAGAAACAAAACCACAAAAACATATCTGTCACAGTCACAAAATAATTTAGAAAATGAGCAAGAAGATGTGATCAGTAGATGAGGTTGTTTTTGAAAAACTATTCAGAGAGCTTACTCTGCTTAATGTCTTATCAGCAGGCAGAGGCTTTCAGGGTTTACTACTCACGGATTCATTTAACCTCTATTTCAACTTTTGCAGTGCCTATAAAAAGTATTCAACTACCTTTAAAGTTTTCTCCTTATAACATTTTTCAACATTAAATTGTGGTCAATTATATTTTCCTTTCAGAAAACAATTAAAAAAAAGACATTTGTGTCAACGGGGAAACAGATTTCTACAAAGTAATGTCAATGATTTAAAAATAAAACTCCCTAATTTAACAAGGGTAAAATGGAAATCACCTGAGTGCCGTGAATGTGTCCCAAGAAATTGTAATACAAAGAAACTTGTGGAAGGACCAGTCCCTGGTGAATCATTACTCCCAGCTGCAACAACACTATGAAGACTAATGAACACTCCAAGCAGCTCTTTGAAAAGGTTATTGAAAAGCATGATCAGAGGACGGATACAAGAAAAACTTTAAGCCACTGGCATAAATTTGCATATAGCCAGCCATCTTCAAAAACTGTGAGACAGTGCAAGCAAGAGACTTGTAAGGGAGGCCACCAAGACAGCTATGACTCCTCTGAAGGAGGTACAAGCTCTGGCAGTTGATAATGGAGAAACTTTGTGTACAACAACTGTTGCTGGTTCTTCCCCAGTCAAAGCTTTATGGAAAAATTACAAAGATAAAGACACTGTTGGAAAATGCTCATACTAAATCTCACCCAGACTTCACCATGTCATATGAAGACTGAAATAAACAGGAAGAAGAGTCTTGGGTCCGATGAGACCAAAATTGAGTTTTTGGCCATCAGACTCAGACGAGACACTATGTTTGGCTGACACCAAACACTGCACATCATCATAAACACACCACCCCCACCATGAAGCACGGTGGTGTCAGCATCATAATGTACAGATGCTTCTTGGTAATAGGCTTGTAAAGGTAGAGAGTAAAATGAGTTAAGAAAAGTATATGGAAATCCTGGAGGGATGATAAAACATAGGAGAAAATTTGTTTTCCAGCAAGAAAATGAGCCAAAGCTCATAGACAAAGCGACACAGAAATTATTTAAACTAACAAGACCAAAAACTCCTTTGTCCCCCGAGCCATCAAACTGTTCAACTCTGAGCTCGGGGGGGAGGGGGAGGTGGAGAGGTGGGGAGCGAGGGGTGAGGAGTGAGGACATTGGGGTGAGATAGAGCATCATGCTCTATCACAGGACTGTGTGCAATATTTTGGCACTGTTACTGCATCCATTGTTGTTATTATTATTAATAATGTTGTGTTGGTGTTGTGTTTTTGCTAGTACAACAATTTCCCTGAGGTACCCTACCAAAGGGATCAATAAAGTTCTATTTAATCTAATCTAATCTAATTTAAAGGCAACAAGGTAAATGTTCTGGAGTGGCCGAGTCAGAGACCAGACTGCAATCCAGTTGAAAATTTGTGGCTGGACTTGAAAAGTGATGTTAACTAATGATGCCTGTGTAAACTGACAGAGCTTAATTAGTTTTGCAAAGAAGAACGAGGTAAAATTGCAGTGTCCAGATGTGCAAAGCTGATTAACACCTACCCAAAGATGCATGTCCTAAATACTGACTTGTAGGGGGGTAAATACGAATGCCATCACGTATTTTACATTTAATACTTTCACTACTTTATTACTTTGGCAAAAATCTTTTCTTTTTACTTTGACATGAAATTATCTTTTATTTGGTGGTAATGGTATTAAGAACAACAACAATAATAATAATAAAAACAACAATAATAATAACAATAATAATGCATTTTATTTATAAAGCACTTTTCATTTAAAAGAAGTGCCACAAGCACACAATAAAAAGAAACAGTAAACACACTTAAAATCACAATTTTAAAAAAGGAGTTCCTAACTTGAGTTAAAAGCCTCTTTGAAAGGAAGGTCTTCAAGTGTTTTTTTTTTTTTAAAGCCACACTGACTGTGGGATCCTAAGGCGTATTGGTGTATTTTTTTATTTTCTTTTTTCGAAAATAGCTTAATTAAACCGACTGTTTCATTGTTGTAAAGCAATAAAAGGTGAAATATTGTAACTTCTCAGGTGAAATCTTCCAACTGTTTGGTTTTACAAAACAATATATACATATACCAGAGAAAAGGTTTCCAGCAACGGACCGATGGGTTAATCTACTATTACAGCACTGCGTTGCATGCTGAATGAATATACAGTTGACAAAATAAAGCTAATAGTGATCTTGCTAACAAGTCCTATAAAAAGACCAAAACCAACAATAAATGTATCCTACTAATAAATATTATCTGTATATGTAGCACCTGTGTCGGCAAAATATCAAAAACATCAACGAGCCACACTGTAGCCACCAGTGATGTGTTCCTTTATTACCATTAACATGTGGGAAGTATTGCTGGTATGAAATCTATTTAAATATCATCAGTTTTTTTGTTTAAATTAGCAACAATTCAAACATTCTAGCAAGGTTAATACTATCCCTACAGTTTGTTTTAACTTTTTCATTTATAATTGATCAATAACTGTTCTGTTTTGTAAGGTAAAATGATCAAAATGACCACTACCAAAATATACCTGTTTTTAGTAACGAATATATCAGTCACAACAACAGTAACATATTATAACAGTGATTTGTCACAAAAACATAATGGAAAAAAAAACACCCTTGTAAATGCCACAAATTTCCAGTGTGCATGTTGTGTATGTTATTCTCCAGAACTTCTGTATGTTTTTGTAAGTCCAGCTGCACAATGTCGGTCTTAAAAACAGGTAGCAGCTAAAGCTCCGCCATCAAGGTGAACACAAACAAGTTTTCTCTGATGCGTCAAATTTCTCCATCCTTTCATTTACCTACTCACAGTGAAGAAAAATACAGATCAAAGCCTACGTTTTTGAGCAGCTCTCGTCATCTGATCTCCTGAATGGAACAGAAAACTGGCAAACAAAAATAAAAGAAAAAGAAAAACTCCCCCTTCTTACCTCTGTTACTGTAAACAGAAAGCTGGTGGAGAGCGGATAAGGTTTTGGGCTTTGAACTTACTTCGTGAATGAATCCGTGGGAGGATAGAGAGCTAAGTTTAGAACACAGAGAATCAAAACAAGTCTTGCCTGATATGTGTGGCCTTCCCCTACATGTCGATGGGAAACCAAGTTAGAAAAAAAGTCTGAGGTGTCTGAATGGAGACAATAACAGAAAGCTGTAGCCGAATGACTGTGAAACGTATAGGTGGGGCTTGCACATTCAACAGTTACAACTTAATGGGCTACCACCACAAAGCACGTCCATGTTGTCCTCATTGACCCCTTTGGTCTTGTCAGACTTTCTCATGTGAGGCGTGTTTGTCTTCTCTGACTGAGCGACTCGATCTACCACAAACGTAACGTTCGCTCTCTGAGTCCCTACGCCCACAATCATATTCACACTTTCTATTGTCATCATCTTCCTTTGGGATCCAGCGCTTCTGTTTGCTGCCCCGAGTAACGGCCTGCACCGTCCCCACCCTGCATACGCCCCGTCCTCCCTTAGAACTAGACACTGACTTGACAGACAGCATGAGTGAACTGTGCGCTGGAGCTCCAGAGATGAATAACTAAAGCCACTGGTTTGAACCATGGTGCACACAAACCAACGAATTCAAATCGACAACTGAGTGTGACATTTTGATCTGTAGATAAGTTTACAACATGGAACAAAAGTGACTATAGGGTGCTGTGCAATATCACTTAAATGTTAAGTGATTCTAAATCGGGAATCGCATTACTTCTAAGTCGAACAGTAGCATGTTCGCTCTAAAGTGAAAAATCAACAGTTCAGATGTACAAATTTTGAACTGAAAAAAGCAATTCATAGGCCCAGAACTGTCTATTATTTATCTTTAATTGAGGAAAACAAGAACAACCCCAGGTTTCTTTCCAGCACTGTAGCCAGGCTGACAAAGAGTCACAGCTCTGTGAAGCCTTGCGTTCCTTTAGCTCTCAGTAGTGTTGACCAATGACCTTCTTCGCAAGTAAAGTTTTGAATATCAGAAAAAATAAAAAATAAATTAAAAAAACCTTATTAACATATCTTTAGGTGCAGCAGCTCTGGAAGCATCAATAGGACCAGACTTAGATTGTTTCACTGCTGTAAGCCTCTCAGAGCTCACATCGATAGACCACATACCAACTAGACTGTGCAAGGATGGATTTCCTTGAATTAATCATCAGCTTCTCTTTACTAACAGGCTACGCCACAGGTTTTTAAGGTTGCTATAACAAAGCCACTTCTCAAAAAGCCTACTCTGGATCCAAGTGTTTTAGTCAACTATAGGCCCATATCCAACCTCCCTATTATTTCTAAAATTCTTGAAAAAGTTGTTGCTGCCAATTATGTGATAATTATGTGACACACAAGTGGTTTGTTTGAGGAGTTTCAGTCTGGATTTAGAATGCGTCATAGTACAGAAACAGCACTGGACTAGTTTCTATACTTGTTCTGCTGGATCTCAGTGCTGCATTTGATAGGGCTGGTCACAACATCATATTACAGACTGGAACATATTTTTGGTATTAAAAGAACCGCACTAAACTGGTTTGAATCATATTCATCAGATAAAGTCCAGTTTGTTTGTGTTAAAGATGATTCTTACACACACCAAAGTTAGCTATGGAGTT